GTACTCATACGCAGTCAAAGCCACTTGGCTGGTTCGACTCTAATAAACGGTCGTGTTCTCTGTCGCCTCCTTTTTCCTATTCTCGGGTAGCTACGGGCTTTAACTAGAGGGTGGCAAGGTAGTGCTAAATCCTCTAGTCACTACAGGGTTGCCGATTACTAAGAGGAACAAATTTATCCTCTATTATGTAGTTCAAATCTCTGAAATGCCAGAACTAGTTTATCGCTAGAATAGCCGTACGCTAACACCTGAAGTTCCAGAACTCATTGGTAGGTCCATAAAAGCCGTGATTGGTTGGTTCAAATAGTGCTGACCTAGTAGTGTGCTCCGTAAAATTACCTCAATTAGAATTTTGTGGAGATGCATCTCCTGAAGCTAATGATCCTGATGTAGTCCAGAACCACGGCCTACATGTCAGGGTATCGATTTAAGGACCTACGTCAGTTAGATGCCGTGGTTCGACAAGTTATTCTGCCGAATTGAGACAAGCTTATTGTCGATATGGAAACGCTGAGTGCAATAACATAACCATCAATCACCGGTTGTCCAAATACGTGTGCGTGTCCAGTCAAATGACCTGCTTAGATTTCAGGAGTAAAAGCAGTTGCAGAATAACCGAGACTTAGCATGAAAAATGCTGGTACAACGGAACAAACTTTATTAACCAATCACACGCCAGAACCGTCTGCCTGCCTGCGACGCCTATAGTATTGCGCTTCCCATCTGTTATTGTCTAGGGCCAATCTTCGGTGCAGGCCATTCAGGCGCATAAAGGCAGGATTGGTTGAGTGCATCGTGATTCAATATGTCTGCACCCTTGCATGGCACTGCAAAGTGTTTTAGAATACTCGAATCCTGGTATGAAGAAGACCGGTACAGCAGAGCAGCAGACGTTTGACCAATCACAAGCCTGAACCACGTCACAAAATCCAACGCGAGGGAGCGCGAATAGGCACGAGTGACCTGCCTTAAAGGAAGAGAAGAGGCATTGTTTGTCTGATTAATTTGAATTTGAGCTTACGCGATATTGACGACAAATTAATATTAGCCTAGATGCAAATTTCTGCCTGTGCCTTCGTGTGCAGGAGTTCGGTGCAAAACATGACCTCTGTGAAGTAACATTTTGCCAAAATGTAGATGTCTAAGCATTGTAAGTAAGCCAGTAGATGCGATTTTTCTTGCCATCTAGAAAATCCTATTTAATGTGCTGGCGCCTTGTGGAGAATTCCTTCCATCGTTCAGCTCCTATATAGTCTTCAACAATTCCCATGGACTGCCAGACTTTAAACAAAAGGAAATTAATTTTTCATATTAAACGAAAAATGTCATTGAATCCATAGCCACGCAACTTTCTAGCGAATCCGAACAAACAAAGACTCGCGCCAAATCGGTAAACAATGCGATCACACACGCGCGAAACACCGAGTTCAAATTTTTGCAAATTTATTTAAATTGCGCACTTCAGAATCTGAATAATAGTTGTTTACTGATAGTAAACTCTTAAAGGGAAAAATGTGTATTTTCATGAATCAACTACTGCTTACTGAATCGGAGATAAAATTTATGTTGATCAACTCATCCCGTGAATACTTTGACCTTTTTATTTTTTAAAAAATGTTTAAAATATGACGTCAGAACACAAATCACATTCGATAAGAATTCACTTGACTGCTGAGGGTTGAGATTTGGCCTAAATTTCAGTGAATGCCACACGTGCACCGACAGCGCTGAATTCAAATTCAGGATACCTTTTACCCACTTTTTTAAAACAACTGACCAAGTGATGGCCAAATCTGGACAACCTGTTCTATTGTCTAGGTCGTTGAAGGGATGTAATTTGCATAAAATGTTCAAATCATCAGATTTTAGTGCAGAAAGTTTGATGGGATAGCACTGACCACAAGTTCTGTGAGCCTTCGTTCATGAATCAAAATGAGGTCACAACTGACCAATTAAATTGCATCAAGTATTTAACGTGTTATCAATATTCTAAAGCATTTGATCAAAACATTGCTTTCAATTTCTGTGTTGCAACCATCCCCTGGTAAAACCGAAAACCTCTGTGGTACGATGCGTTAGTAGTTCTGCACTATAATCTGATGATTTGAACATTTTATGCAGATTACATCCCTTCAACGACCTAGACAATAGAACATGTTGTCCAGATTTGGCCATCACTTGGTCAGTTGTTTTAAAAAAGTGGGTAAAAGGTATCCTGAATTTGAATTCAGCGCTGCCGGTGCACGTGTGGCGTTCACTGAAATTCATGCCAAATCTCATCCCTCAGCAGTCAAGTGAATTGTTATCTAATGTGATTTCTGTTCAAACGTCAAATTTTAAGCCTTTTTAAAGTAAAAAAGTCAAAGTAATCACGGGATGGGCTGATCACGATTTAGCAGACAGTACCTGATTTATGAAAATACCCATTTTTTCCCTGGAAGAGTTTACTATCAGTAAACAACTATTAATCAGATTCTGATGAGCGTAAATTAAAAAATTGCAAAAATCTGAATTCGGTGTTTTACGGGCGTGTGATCGCATGGTTTACCGATTTGGGGCGAGTCTGTGTTTGTTCGGATTCGGTATTTGTAAACGTTAGACGACTACCTAGTCTGGTGCGTATAGGGTCCAAAGTTTACTCATTGCTTCCGAGGCGAATAACACGCGCGTTTGTTAATTCTGTTACAAGTAAACTTATTTATCGACTATTTGTGTATTTCATGGTCAGTCTTTAAAAATCTGTTTGCTTTGTTTATGAAAAAAGGAGTTGTTTTCGTTGAATGATTAGTCATCTGCGCAATCGCGTTATCCTCGCACCAAACTCGCGCCACAAATCCTACAATATATCTTACTGATGATCAACAAGTAGCATTATTTGAATAATTGCGGAAAAGAATGACGGCAGGTTTGTGATTTGATTTGTCACAAGAACATAGCCCTGATGCGTAGAAACACAACCGAAAAAAAGCTAAAGTTCGTGGGATTAAAAACAACGCAATTCAAAGGGCAAACTCAACTAAACAACTAAAAAGGATAAGGTTTAAAATATTTCGATTTATTCGAAGCTATCGAGTTCATATGGATGGCAGGAAATCCGGAAAGCCTCTGTACTTTGAATAAAAGTCAACATTTGATTGGGACTGGGATACTCAGAACTGATTAAGTAAAAAGAGGTCATGTCTAATGACAATCAAAATACGCGACCTACTCTGATCAGGGTCAAACTTCAAACAAACGTAAACATGCTCATTAAGCAACTATATTAATTAAATTTGTTTCATAATAATGGATCAAATGAAATTAGCTAATGACAGCATAGTCGTGATTTTAATTTTGAGTTGCACATTGTGGAATAAGTCCATATGCATGTGATTTTTGGTCGTTTCTGTAACATCTTTAAGCTATTCTAAAACTGCTTCGCAATACGAATAAGCAGCACTGGCTTGATTTGATATTTAAATTCATGGAATTCCTCGTTTGTTAGAATAAACACTACTAATATCAGGCAAATCAACTCTCTCAGTAATAATACACTAACCCACTTGCATACATTGCCAATTATTGTTTTGTGCTAATGAATCAAATAGATCCTGGGTTGTGGCTGGGATCTCGTCCAAGAGCTAACGAAGTACCAAAACTAATAGCTGTGGGTATTCGCTCAGTTTTAACGGTTGACATGAGTCCTCTCGAAGAACCTGCTTTTGAGAAATTGAAGCGATTACATATCAAGGCCTCTGATGTCCCCTCTGAAAATTTAATTATTCACTTTAAAGAGGCTATTGCTTTTATTGATGAAAATGTTAGCGAAGGAGTATTGGTTCATTGGTAAAATATGTTGAAGTTTTATTCACAGCCTTGCTGGTGTCTCTAGAAGTGCCACTATTGTGATCGCTTATATTATGTGGAAGTACAAGTTGTCCTATACCGCTGCACGCGATATTGTTGCAAAACGTCGGAACATATGGCAAGTCCAATTATTTTTAATTCTGCTCTATTAGTCCCAATGCTGGATTTGTGCGTCAATTAAAACTTTTTGAAAGCATGAACTTCGTTGTCGACACTTCATCAGAATTGTACAAAGAATTCGAATCACTTCGCAATTCATATCCCATATGTAATTGAAAATGTTCGTCATCATACACATGGTCGTTTAGGCCTTCCCACCGGGAAGATTCTTTTGCATTATATTAGTTCTCGTGATCCTTCGCTGTCTAATTTCGCGTGCCGGAAATGTCGGTAACCTCGGTCACTTCACTAATTCTCACCTGTTCTAGAAGTGTGCTATTTCATTCAGAAGATGTAATTCACCATTTGTGTCCGAAGAAGGACGGTGATTCACAATCTGTTAAGCCTTGCAACCAAGGCGAGCTCTTCACTAATGCTCTGGAGTGGTTCAACTCACAAACCTCAGATGTACAAGGCAAAGTATGTTTCTCCTTCTCTCTCCATAACACCCTTTCCTTGTTTGCATTCTTTTTCATGCTTTGTACATTCGTTCTTTTTGTACCTAAGAACCGCAGCACAATTGCTGATTATTCTCTTTAGCTCTACTGTCCGAAATGCGCTGTGAAAATTGGCTCCTATAACTGGTGTGGTGAGTATTTCTCAGTACTTAATCGTATTTTTTTTAATTTACGCCAATAGCAGATCACTCTATGACGCATACTTTCTTAACAAAGTTGCTCCGTTTTTGTTCAACAGTTTTTACAACCCCCGTAGTTATATGACATGGACGTGGTTGCATGCGATTACTTACAAGTGCCGTGAACTGTCAGTGAATGCGTTTGGTTGAAGCTGGTTCACTAGTTGATCCGGTCTCTGACTTACCTAAATCTTTCATATTCGCGTTCTTTCACGAAAAACCCAACTTGTCTGGTCTGGCTCTAAAATAGCGATTGTGTCGCTATCGCTTGTCTAGTCTCTATTTCCGGGTTACCACCGGCAGGGTTGTAAGTTTGTGCTGATTGGTGATTTCATCCGAGGTTGTCGCAGCACTCTCTTCTATTAACAAACCGTGACTCCCTTGCCGTACACTCCTGTTTGAAAGACAGCATTTCAGTCAGCACTTTTCCTGTACAGTTTCAACACCTCACCTCCCAATTCTCGATGAATTTGCATGTTGTTGCTGACAGATGTTTCCACAGAAATTATCGACTTGCATGGAACAATGCCATCTGAAAAGCCCTGTGAAAAAATGAAATCTGCTGTTCTCACACGGACGACCAGCTCGAACGAAATCCATCTTTGGCACATCCTTTTCGGTATTGAACTAGTTCACGGGTCATCTTCTTAAGTCAGCCTCATGGTTGGGGGTAACAAGGTCGATGACTCCGTTCTAACCACTTAGGGAACTGATCACAATCATCTCGCCGTTGAATAAACTCGCGGGAACGCCATTGAGTTCTTTTATGCTTGGTAATGTTTCTAACAGCTGGCCTGAATCACGTGAGATACAAATCTTAGTTGTAACGCTCTAATAGGTCATGAACTCGGTTGAAGCAGGTGTCCCACTCTACCCTCTTCAAAACAATCCCATCACACCGCATTTTTGTAAATTTGCAGTACGTTAAAGGTAATAACTTATTCGAAGCCTCCCATCCGTGGTGAGTTTGCCGCCTTCCGTGAGGTTTTAATATAACTGCTACTTACGTGTTGCAAGTAGCATTTTGTGTATATCAAGCTTGTCCTGGTTGTGTTAAAACCACGCCAACGTACTCCCCACACTTTCGTAATTTGCATTATTTTTTTTATTAAATTTACGCAATTAGAAGCGTTTCCTAAGTAGGCGCCCAGGCCTACTCCGAAATACCTGACTCTTCCCCCATAATATTAGCGAGGATTTTACGCAAACAACATTCTGCCTCAATTGGGCTAAGCCAAATATCAATCAATTGTCTCATAAACTCAAGCGTTCTGCGACACATTTCCTCAAATCACTCTCGGGGAACGTGTGTGTGCGTGTTTGAAATGCGGTCTATCCCACAATGCCAGCCCGATGCCTCCATCGCGGTCGAACGGATCACTTTTATTGAGGCCGTTGTCATAGCAACGCACAGCGCGCGTCCTGTGGATGCGGCGTGTGTGCTCTAGAGCACGCGAAAGAACATTTGCCATTCGGTTTTCGTTTGACCCCGTTTGGGGACGCGTGAACTGGTCTCTTTCTCTCTAGCGTTTGCAACTAATCCCTCCGGCATGTGTGTGTGTGCGTGTGTGTGCTACCTGCAGATGTTTTGTGGTGTTGATCAGTTAAATAGGCCTTGTAGAATTGTCAATTTCACCATTGCGTCAGGCTGTAGCAGCAGCTGCCTCGGACAAGTTGCGATTTGACCTCAGACGTCTTCTCCTTTGATTGGTGCTCTAGGCGAACCGTGTGTGTGTGGTCGTTGGCTGACGCCGGCGTTCCACTTCAGCCGAAAACACCTCGACGAACTGCCCGGTGGCGCAATCCCCTCCGCCAAAGACGAGGAAGTGGAGGCACAAGTCGACAGCAGTCCTGAGAACTGCGAGGCGTGATATCGATTTGTGTATTTTTTTTCTCCTGACAACCCCTATTTATTCAACCTCAAAATACAGCAATCTTGGCGCCAATTACAAAGCAATCAGTGTTCTGTTCGGTGTGAGGGCGAATACTTTCAGTTAGTCGACTTGTTTGACTGATTTAGTCGTGTTCACCTCCGTTTTGAGCTTTGAGCCAATCACATGCGCGGCCGCGTCGACCAATCGGCGTTGGCCTGAGTTAGATCCTCTTCGCCGATTCGTCCGTTCCAATGTGGATGAAATTTAAATATAGTCAGTTCGATGTAGCGCAGGTATCCCCGCACACTGGTCCAGAAGTTGTTGGTTTGTCGATGTTTTTTTGCAAAGACACATCTAGACGTCTTATTGAGCTGGTACTTTTCCACAAGGTAAGCCTACTACAAATCAAAAATGCCAGAGGCACCATTTTTCAGCACAACGAAAAGGGCGGTTGAAAATGCCACAGGGGTGCGGTTGTTTGCATAAATCTCCCCCAACTCCGATCCCCAACACCGAAGAGATTTGACCAAGGATGAGCTGTAACCACGCCCACACCATCCCCTCACTCGTTGTTGGTTAAATTTGCAAATACCTAGAATTCCGGGAGATGCTGACATGTTTTCCTTTTAGTCAAACTACTGTAAATTGTCAGAACGACGTGTGATTTGGCGCTGGTAATGACTGGCATGTCGTGTGTAGGGGCTATCTGCTAACCGCGATCTGGCTTTGTCTGCCAGTAAATCATCACCGCGTAGACAACCATAGTACAATCGAGGCCTGTGGCGTGGTGAGTCACTTATGCAAATTCAGACCCGGTAAATGGATGTCTAGTGGCTGCCTGATTGAGCGGCCTCCAGGCACTAGGTAGACATGTTATTCCGTGCCATGAATTTCAACAATTAAGCAATCTACCGGAGGCGTCATGTCCACGCGAGAACGCCTCACGCTTGGATCGTTGCGTCGGCAACTAGAAAGGATGTTTATGCCGCTAACCGGAGTGCAAAAACGCACCTGACGTGTACGGTGTCCACCCTCAGTGCTTGCGTAATCTAATTATCGTCGATCCGGCTGCAGGAGCTGCCAGTTACGTGGACTTGTTCTTCTGCGATGCTTGCCTGTGTCGAAAACGCATCAAACTGAAACCACAACTACCTGGCCTCACGCAGTTATCGAGCAGCACTCAAGCGACGCTAACTAATAAAACGGCAGTATCGTCAAACGCCTTAGGCGGAGTGTGTGTGTGTTTGCGGGTGTCGATGGGTCGTTCACATTTCGCTGGAAGTAGTGCGCCTGCCGCGAGCTGGCAGTGACAAATGTAGCAACCGTTTCATGTCTAAGTAATGGCCACCCCTGACTCCTCTCACACCGGCAATTATCACTGCCAATTGTGGCAACTTAAGTCGTTTTCCCCCTAGTCAGAGGACGGTGTCTGGTCTAGATATTCCACAAAGACCTAGAGCCACCACCGCAAGCTGAACCCTCCGTATTTCGTGTCCCGGTAACCCTGACTCTGTCATTGTCGCGTTGAAACTTATAAAACCATCCCTAAAACAGTGTGTGCTCATGACATGCATATTGGGTGATAATTGTTGGCCGTATCCATTGAATGATCCGTTATTCTTTGTCAAGAGCTGCTCAGTGTTATCGATTCGTTGTGTTGATGGGCTAATTTGCGAACCACTTGCATCCAAGTTGACCTCAAACCTGGGGTGATAAATTTCGTGGTTACCGCGACAACCAACTATCCACGTCGACACCTGCTCTCACTGACAGGCGGGCTGAAGTCACGAAGGTGACTTAGACCCCCTTGAAACAGACTGGACACAGAGCCGAGTCGTTCAAAGTCCACCCTGTCACCAGTGCCAACGAAGGAGTGCATGCGTGTGTGTGCGTGTGTGAGCATATTTGTTTTAACTTCATACCTATTGTTACAGCGGTGGACGCATGTGTGCAAGCGCCACCCAGACTAACACCTGTCTTTTGTTTTAATACGTCAAATGCGAGCGCGCGCAAATGAAACGACGATAGAGAGAGAGAGTAATGCTTCGGCTACTGATGGTGGTCCGAACCTGGCTTCCTGAACACCTCACACGCGCGCTCGCGCAGGCACGAACTGGATGTCCGCTTAGTGGGTCGAAATTCGGACCTCGATTTCAGCCAGATTGGCGGGGCAAGAACCGACACGCGCGCGTATGCAGGCTGATTTAAACACAGCTTCGCCAAGGTCGGCCTCCGGTTTATCGATCAGGCGACCAGCTGATCCCACCATCGCCTGTGATCAAACCCTAACCCCACTCTTAAATTTCCTGCAAGTGGTAACCGAGTAGACTGCGCCCTTGTTCCTGCCTTGCCTTCCAAGTACACCATCTAGACCGTGGCTACGCGGAAAGCCACCCCTTATCTGCATCCTTTGATGTCGGAATCGGCGTAATTTATAAAACCCCAAGCATTACTCACCTGCCCCCAGCGGTTCGCACTAGAGCCATCTCATCTGACGCCGGTTCGCAGTCGAGACGTGTCGGTGAGTAGCTCTGGCGCTGATACACTTGGGTGTGCGCTGGTTGGTTGATTTTACGTAGGCGTTAAGCAACAAGTGGTGCTAGAAACTGCGCTAATTACCCTTTCTACAGCTGGTTCCGAATTTGTCAAGCTGCCGGCTGCCCTCAATTCGTGGTGGTCACCATGTTGGTTGCGAAAAAGAATGGAAGTTGGAACGACGTGTTTTTAAAAATACTCGCTTTTGTGACCAGACCCTGGTCTGCCTAAGCTTAGGTTCAGGAAATCGATTTTCTGAATTTCCATCTCAGACGATAGAAAAATCTGTAAAATATCGATTTTTTCGATTGGATTTGTCGGGCACCAATTGCTGCGGAAATTGAGACGTTGGGCGTTGCAGTTTGGTAGGATTTTCCTCAGCTATCCCAAGTCACACCCCCTATTCCGTACTCGGGAGATCAGTGCGGAACCGGTCGAAGGCTTTCGTCACCGGTTTAATCTTGGTAAACCCTAAAACTCGGAGTCAAGTTTGTCTGGAGGGGCGTACGTCATATAAATTGTATCGACTTTGTGCGTAGACCACCACTAGCCAGGCCCTCCCCCGCCCTCTCTGCATGAATCATTCGTGTCAATATTTATTTCGCAAACTTTCACTTACCGACGCGGTCTTTTGAATTGCGCGGGCGCGCGAACACAAGTGAGCCAATGGGCGAGCGAGATCACTCAGTGATTATTTTCGGCACAACGCGGGCATAAAAGGCCTATAAAATGCGCGTAATTTATGAGCAGAACACCGCACCCTGGAGGAATCGGTTAGAAGGGGTCTACTGCAGCTTTAAAAGGCTGTTTTTACCGCGATTCGCGATTTTAAGGTGGCGCGCAACCAACAACTAGTCGACTTTTTTCGAGGTCAATTTGACTTAAGTCTTCCTCGTTACCAATACACCAACATACTGCTCCTAACTACTCTAACTATCCTCCTCTCAACTCTCCAGACTGTGAGGTGTAAGTTCGCTAAAATGTAAGAAAGTACAAAAGTTACGCCCTGTGTACTGGTGGAAATTAGCTGGCCTTAGACAAAACCAACAATTCAGGATTTTGCTGCAAGAAAATGAACGAGAACTTATACCGCCAAATTTGATTTTATTCCCAAGTCAAAGTGGGTGTAAGGCGACTCTCTTAACCCCCTAAAATCAATTATTTATCTTACAGCAGACATAAACATCACGTCGTCCAACATACATGGAAGCCGTTAACTGATTCATCACTTGAAAGACAGTCGCACCGGAGTTAAATGTAACCCACCATTTTGAGAACACTAAAACCCATTGCGCACTTGGCCCCAATCGGATCTGATTTCGTTAGCAAAGGACCTTGGCATGATTTGTGATCGGAAGAGCCTGACAATTGCCGTTCAGTGATCTGGCATTTGACTGCTTGCCAGCTTCGCATGGCAGCCACTTGCAGTGATGTTTGTAAAAGCCTTTGTTTTATTTAATCTCCACCATCTGACGTAATTTGAGGAGTCGCAGTTTGCGCTAGCGCGCGCCTCCTAATGTGCGCTCTATCGTGATGCGAGTAAAAGACGTGCGAACTATAATTGAAGAGCTTAATTAGTTTAAGTGTTAAGAAAAAAACGCCGAAGAACCATCGGTATTAGCTCCAGTAGAACTTCGCATACTAGGATGAGTCGATTATTCATTAACGCTACAAGAGCTACGCAAAGCTGCCTTGTCCAATCGTTCAATTTCTGAATGACCTTGTGGTCACAGTAAAACAAATTCCGAGCGTATTCATTCCACTGGACCTAGGAAAGGTCATAATTTCAATTATGCTGTTTTGATGAATCCACGAAATTCACTGCTGAAAGGAGACAGTGAAATAAGTAATTTGCCTAATCAAAAAGTCGATTTTCATTAACTGGTGCGCGATAACTCCGAAAGAATAACAGGAGATCTAACTTACTTAAATCTTTACCAAGTTGACATTTGAATTCGTGAAGATCGTTTGAAACTAGCTGAAATTGTTGACTTTAGATTCTAAAAGCCAACTTAACTTCTTGCTGTCAAAGTCGTTGAAATTGCACTGTCTAGCTTAACCAATCACGCTGCGGTGTTGATTTAGCGATTTATAAATAAACATTACACCAGCGATGCGGTGCAACAGGATTTCACCTCGTTGCCAGTGGACCTCTCTGTATAAAAGGCTTAAAAGAGTCCACTCAATGCAAATATTTAAGCCTTTTCTAAGTATTGATAGCCTGAATTTGTATGAAAAAAAAGATTGTTCAATATTGATCTCGTGGCGTAGAAAATCGACAAGGTATTGGTCAGTTGGTATCGACCTTGAGGCATTGTCTAAGTGCTAGGCACCTCCTCTGTAAATGATACTGGTTGATACTAATCACATCGCAGATTTTGTGATCGTCTCATCGAAAATTTGGTCGTCTTTAATTTAATGAGTTTCAGCATTGTGGATATGTGAAATTGCACCTGTGTGGATTTGAATTTGTAGGTCCCTTGCTCTGTCAAACATCGCTGATAAGAGATTATGCTATTCCTTGCCCATTAAATGCGCAATTGGATGTTGTCATAGTGAATCAAGGATTATTCCGTTTCATTTTAATTGGCTGTTTCATCAATTTTCGATAACTGAATTGAAGTCACAGCAAAAAGCGGGATTCATTGGTGCCCATAACGTATTCCACAAAACCAATTGCCTGATTGTTGAGGCGCATTAATTTCCTCTACTTGTAGTGATGTTTATTTAAATTAGTGGGCCAGTTTAAAGTGTTATAGTAATAAATTTGCCCGTGAGACGCAGATAAATAACGGACAACGATCGTCAGATCTTCCCGCTTACGGGGTCATTCAACACACGAGAAATTCTGTCGATTGCAAGGCTTTAAATCCACGAAATACTCTTTCTCTTCACAACGAGATAGATCAAATTTTCCATTCTCTCGCTTAACAACCTTGCCACAAACATTTTGACTGAATCAAAACACAATCACAATTATTGTATATCCACAAACCTTACTAACGTGCATGCAGCCTACTTTACATCAAGCTGTTGCCATGGTGACTAAGACTGAGGTGGTCTTGTGTCAACGCAAACTCTTCAAACCCCTGTCTATAGTTTTTTTCATGTTAACCCCTAATGAACAGGAAGGTGTCTGCTCCATTGGGTGGTTGGATGCCACAATCGTGGTATTTAAAATTTGCCGTTGCAGACATGTGCGAGTATGAGCCGACGTCAGCAGTTGGCCTTTGAAGTAACCATTGGCTCGGTAATGTCGTTCACGTCCCTCAAGACGTTCCTGACTAATGCCAATAGCCATCTGTCTTACTACTCGCTATACCTCCAGACACGAGGTACCGACGTCTAGCTTAGGGGCGCGTAAAAGTGCGTCTGCCCACGGCCAGACAAGTTGGCTTTACGAGCCGTCCAATTTTTACTATTCACTCCCCCAAGGAAGTGAGTTCTTTTTTTCCGGTAAATCAGACGCAGGTTGCTTGCCATAAAACGCTTTTCTGGTTTATTGCCTGACCGTAAAGCATCCCATAAAGAGTTGTGAACAGAAGACGCTGGCACAACTAAACAAAGCTGTTCACTTTTCGCTACTTTAATTAGTAACCGTTTTCCCGGCGAAAGGCTGTGATTGGCTGGTTCCCATCTGACGCCATGAGACTGTGAATTGGCCAGACCTTGATAAGCCAAGAGCACCGTCTCCTCCACGACCTCCACACGACGTCTGTCTGCAGAGGTGGTGAAAATATCACTCCTATCATCGGCCGCAGATCGAACAGCGAAGATACTCTTGCGATGTCGATGATCCAGCACAGCAACAGAAATCGATAGTTTCAGAAAACTCAGGTTGATGGCTGTCAGAAAGTCACAAGAAATCGAAAACTCCTGAATCGTCTGTCAACAGAGGAGATTCAAAAATTTTGACAAGTCGGTGGAATAAGGCCTTACTCGTTCAACAAACACATACTGCGTTTAAAATGCCGAGAATAACCTAAGAAGCGTGGTAAACGCCTGAGTGAAATTCTATTTACAGTAATTAATGCCTTCTCACGGATTACGGCAGTACATTTCACACACACCGCGAGATTTTGCAGAGAGATTTTAAAATTTAACTTAGCTAGCCTAGGCTTCGAAGTTGATTTCAGGAGGAGGAGGAGGACGCGCTACACTCGCCAAGCTGTCTCGAGCATTTTGCGTTGAGGCTGGAGTTTAAACACTTGAAAAATCTGCGTAGCACTTATGAAAAAAACCTGTTCAAGCATTGCATTTGACAGAATTTCAAACCACGCCTACACGCCAATAAACCTGCGTTGAATTGCCAAACTGCATTACTAATAATTCTGTGACTTTATTAGATAGTTACTCAGGGAATCGGTTCGTGTGTCCTTCAGACGTAAGTCAAGTAGGTTCGCAAATAGCTCGCCACCTGTGCTACAGCGATACTATCGACCAATCACCGTTTTGGAAGCGACACTCACTGTAATCGCTACGTCACAGCCCTCTTCTTATTAAGTGAATGAATAAACTAGATTATTGAATTCACTGTGTTTTGAAATGTGTGACAGCTGAGATGAAGGCGAACTCTGTGTGTGTGTGCGTGTGGGCTCAATCTAATGTCTGACCTCAAAGCCGAATGAGATTATTTCTACCATCCGTTTGGTTAAATTACAACCCATCAACGTACACTAAAAACCCTGTCATGGGTTGGCGGTGATTGGTCTTGCATTAGGATATTCCTCCTGCATGCTTTGAGCTTGTTAAACGCTCAAAAAACGCCAGGCATTTGTTAGCAACTAAGCGTGTGTGTTGCTAGGGCCAAACGCAGTCCCTTGTGTTAGCAGACACGGTGACCGTTGACTGACTTCATCAAGACACTTCACACAGACGTCTTGGATGACCTCAATCACCTACGCTTACTCTTCACGTAAATGGCATGTTCTGAAGCGTCTACTCGACGATTAGGCGCTAATTAAAATCGAGTGAATTCCAGTCTTGCTTTTTCGTGAACTTTACCGCCCATGGCAGCACATTAAAAACAACAAAACAGGCAACGCCGCTCAGAGACATTGTTTCTGCAGTACGGCTTGAGGTGCTGAATGCAAAGAAAACAGCGTGACTAGTGATGACTCATTTTACTGCAAAAAATACCATCAATAAACAAAGTGTATCAAATCTGCTATTTATGTTCCTGTGACTACCTCTGATTTCTTTCGATCTGGATGTCATCTTCACCGCAACATGTCTTCCTTGAAACCGTCCCCACGAAGTAGCCAATTAGAATCGTTGAATCTCAAAACCGTATGTGACCCTTAGCAGTCGCATTTCCACACACACATTTTCTTGTTTAAATCGAACCATGAGTACGAAACGCCCGCCAGATTCAACCACAAGGTAAAGTGTCGTTAGCTCCTTAAGGTAAGAATGTAAAAGATCAATTTTTTAAGAGGCTAAATATAGGCCGTGTCCTCTGACAACACAAAACTGGCAAATTGTTTTCGATACTGCAGTTAGTTTTCATTCCAGGTGAGACTGGACACCACAGGACGTGTTTAAACGGACATTAGATACTTCAGAGTAACGAATTTTGATTAATTTGAAGCGAGGTGTCTAATGCAGGCACCGCTGACACAAACATCTAGCCAGATTATGCTAAAATTCGCATTAAACTCTGATTGGTTGGCAGTTCAGTCAGGCAACTGAGAAATTTTTGAAGCTCTCTTTTAAGTATCACTCCATGTTGATGATTCCCTGGTCTAGCATCTCTACCGCGGTTTGTCCGAGGGTGCCACGAACTCGCATTGGCACACACCTCCATCTGAATAGTTTGAGTTCGTGCAAAGCAACCGGGTCAGGCGGAACGGCAATTCCCCTTGCATACTTCAAGTGGTTTGCGAGTGCGGCTGCCTGCATTGGAACCTGTTCAACCAGGCTAGAGGTAGACGCGCGCTGGAACACGTCTGGCAGTGTGTGCGTGCGTGTGTGCGCGTTCGCGAGGAGGTGTGGAGGCATTCTCGAATGGTCGCTTGCCACGCAAGACACTGCCGTCAATCATGCACGCATTTTCATCGCGCAGTAAGAGCTGACGACGTGCCTTGTGTCTCTAACGCTTTTCAATTTAACATAAAACGAAATTCACCAGGTGGATGATCTGACACCACTGCCTACTGGGATTCCTTGCACGCACGCACCGAACTGATTTCCTCAAATCAGTTCGGTTGCAGAGCCACAAATGTCTAACTCTCCTTCCAATGACTCAACGGTAACCTCACTATAGCGCTCTTGACCCTTGACAATCAAACACATCTTGCCAATGCACTTCCGGTAGAAATGTCCTGCTTTTTGCAAAACTTTCAGTCAGGCATATTTTGAGGTCAAAAAGCTTTGTAACCATCTTTCTCCAAACTGCAGACTATCAGGTAGCCCAGCAGTTGCAGATTTTGTACTTTTTCTAGAGAAAAAAAGGCAAGACTAAATCGGCAACCCACTAAATGACCTCGAACTGTCAGATAACCTGTGGCACACGCAACCAAGGGGTGTAATTGGCCTTTGAGACAACTCAGCACCAATGGGGTTTTGTTTGAACTGACTGAAGCACACACTGAAAAATGCGCCGAGTTTGAATTCTGGCGCATTCATGTCGACAATTGCCACAAATTTGACAGGATTTCGAGCTCAGATGGAAGCCAAGCAAGGTTGTTTGATCGTGATTTCGTAGGAAAGATTTATAGTGGCATGCTGCATTTTGCTGGAATCTAGATTCGACCATTTGTGACAATTTGTGTTATCCTGAAGGTGTAAGTAAATTTTGAACTCTAGAATAAATTTTAGCGCCTTTATGGAATTTTTCGGCTAACCTGAATTTACCCGTTTGCTGGAATCCTGCTTTTTGGATATTGGATCGCGGCTCACGCGTATTCTGATTGGTCATGCCGTGATTGGTTAGTAGAAGCCAATTTGATCTGCGAGACAAGCTACCATTTGCGAATGCGCACATGGAAGGTGTGTCATCCAATTCCACGCTCGCAGCAGTACCACGACTGGTCATGACAAAGGGGTCCAGAATAAGCCCGTAGATGGCATAGTGACCAAAATAAAACATCTGTTCACTCAAAGCTGACGCTACGCGTTCCTGCGTTCCTTCCATACTTATCGTGGAAATTAATTACATATGTGGCTGACTTGGTATGCGACCGAAAGCCAATTTACCGAGTCTGTCGAATTCCGCAGTTGTAACAAAAGTCGGCCTGAATTCCAGAAAAAGGAGAACAGACAGGCCAATGATTTACCAAGGGCCCCTTGGCCGCAAAGCTGCTTTATTTATGGTCGACACGGCGCCCTGTCTATCTGTCACCTCGATCGATGCCGCTTCCAATTGGTTCTAACGTCAGTTAGGTCTTCGTTCAATTAAATCTACCTTGATTACCTGAGTAAATGTGCATTTAAACAAAGACAACGGGGCGACAGTCGGATTGGTTGCTGGTGGCGCCTGCAACTGAAATACGCTTGTCGATTATTCACTTAGAAAATGTTGAACTTTGGCACAATCTACCCCACTGATGTCTAAATTACCGTCACTTGTGACAACTCTTAGCGCTACTGGGTGGACAGGACAATCTGAGGGCTTGAGACAACGTTCTCCTCTGCAGTACCTTGAAATTTACTTACTTGAGTGGGCGCTAACTTTAAGAGCAATGCTCATTCTGACGCAGTACACTCAGCCAATCCAACAGGTGGTTTTGGAGGTGAGAATTTTCAACTCATGTGGGCGTATTTCAGGCGCGACCTTGACCTCCACATTGAGGTGTTCTTTCACGTTGGCCTAGGCAACATCCATGAACTCTGAAGCTGCACTTTCTGGAGCTCCTGTCACCAGGTGTATTTTGTCTAAGGTTGTGATGAGATGCTGGGGTCGTGTGCAATCACCAATTGGGTCGAAATTTTGCAAAATTTTAGTGTCACAACTTTGAGGCACGATGTGAATCCACCTTCGCACTGTCTCGATTGTGCGAGTTCGGGTTAGGACGGTTTTAGCCACAAGCAGGCTAAGCTGATCTCGAATCATCCATCAGAGCTTAAGAAATCGATATGTTTTGAAAGTCGTGAACATGGCTCCCGAGGTCGCTAAATAGACCATTCAAAGAAATTGACTAGCGGTGGAGAATTCCAACAGGCGAGTTGTCAGCATAAACGAAATCTAGTTCGAACAGCCCGAATTGCGAGGAACTAAGTCAGCCCGCGCGAAACGCAATTAGAACAGGTGCGTGAAGTGCAAACATTAGTTTTATAGTCGATTGTAGCAACAAAATACCGATTATCAGCACAAAAAGAGTTAAAGAAAAGTAAGGCCGGTTGGTGTGTTGTTCGTCGCCGTGGAGCTTCCACATTCTTTTTCATTAGATGGGGAATAGAAAGAGAGAGAGAGAGAGATAGAGTAAGTGAAGAGCACAACCTAGTGTGTGTATGTGTGTGAGTGTGTGTGTACATATCGATTTTATCATCATCGTAGTTGTTGTCGTTGTCGTCGTCATCATCGACATCATGAAATACATATTAAAAACTCAAGCGGTACAAAAGAGTTGGGGGAGAGTTGGCTGGTCGTTGCGAGGCACATAATCCTATCAGTGTCAACATCATCATCATCAGCATCATCATCATCACACGTGTGGGACAGCCAGGGGAAAGAAGGCGCAAAATTAGGTAGTTTTTATCATTTTGTGCAAGGAATGTGCATGAAAACCACCCACGCACGCATCTCAGGGCAAGAGGTCCGGATATAAAAGCTGTTAAGAACTGCTGCTGCTGCTGTCGTTGTTGTTGTTTACAAAACAAGTGAGGATAAGAAAGAAAGGAGGAGGAGGAGGAGTAGGGAGAAGGAAGACACAATCGGAGGGTTGGCGTGGATGTGTGGTCAGGTAATTGAAAGCAGTGCGGTGTAATGCGGTGGCGGCGGCGGCGGTGGCGTGCGCGGGTAGTACCCATTACCGCTCAATCAGCTGGCCATTTCTGGCGCGGAGGCCAAAATCACTGGTGGATCGTGCACGCCAGACGCCGAATTCGTCGCAGGAGGGACGGGAGTGCTTAAGTAGCACTCCTGTGGAAGGGGGGCCGGACAGACGGAGGAGGAAGGCGGTGGTGGCGGCGGCGGAGGAGGAGGCGGAGGAAGAGAGGGATGAGGAGCAGCAGCAACGGAGAGGCGCTGACTCTTTGCAAGCGGACCGTTGGCTGCAGACGTCGCGCTCCGCCGACGATTGAGAGCCGACTGTCTGGACGTGGTGGCCGCAGCAGGTTGACTTCGATCCGAATTGGTGGCGATCACACCGGAGGGAAGGACACGCCCGAAACGACGCTCGTCCTTGCACTTCTGGGCCATCCGCGCGCGAACAGCGGCCGCTGACTTGTTGAAGCGACGTCGCATTTTCGCTGCAAAAGAAACACGAGACAATCAGCCTCACAAAACCACCCCGTGTCGTCATCTACTGGTCTGCGCGACTTACTGACAACGTAGGCGACGAGGTTAGTCGGCAGGCGCTCTCTCTGGGATCCGCCGCGTCCAAGAACCGTCGAGTTCGCCATCTGGTCGCGCGAGAAGAGACAGGCCATGAGCGCACACGTCGCCCGTGTCCACTCATTAGTCTCCACGTAGTACTTCCAGTGCCGACTCGAGGTTACCTGGGGATTTTGTGTCAGCTGTTTCCGAGTCGGGAGTATCAGGTTGAAATAGACAAGAGAAAGACCACTTGGTTAGAAGGAGGCTCTGTGGCTACTGTGTGACTAGAATTTCCCACAAAAAACGCAACCCAGACTCAGGTAATCTCTGAAAGTGGAGGGAGTGGCTTGGTGGTTGTGTAGCTCCAGACAGGAGGACGGACGGGTGGGCAGCGACTGCGCCAGGGGATGATTGATAGGGCCTCAACGGAGGCGCCTTGAAACCGGACGCACGTCAACCCCGTGCGCACCCTCCCGCACCCACCATATGCCCTTGTCACGTGCGTGCGTGCGTGCGCGCACGTGAAATGGGAGCTCACAGCCCGTGGGAGACCCAACCAACCAGTCCGCTAACCGGGTTAGGCTTCAAGTTGAAGCGCCAGCCAGGCAGTTCGTCCTGTTCCAACGCTTTTTACACCCACGGCGACACCTCCCAACACACTGTGTCCGGCGGAAGTTAGCTGGTACACGTGAGCGTGAGAGACTGATTTGCATCAGCGGTTAGAATTTAAAACAAAAAGAACAACACAACCACTAAATAGCCCCTAGAGAGCAGAAGGCATTTGTTAACTTCGAAAAACGGCCTCCTAACCAATCACGAGGATTTGCCGTGTCGACGTAAAGAGCCAATTAACGCAGAATTTAACAGATTTAATGGCAAAACGAAAATGTCACATCAAAGGGTCGGCATTGGAATAAAAGGAGAAAATGCGAGAATATAACACACACACACATTGTTTTTAGATTTACGAGCTAAGGGAAAGAAGATGGGGGAGGCGATAGCGCGGTAGATAAAAATCACCAGGCTAACGAGCCAATCCGCCGCGAGTCGATGAGTTGATTTGATTGGTTGGACGGGAGTTGAACAATTTGAAATCCGTCGTATTTGGGCCCAACGAAATGGCAACTACAGATTTTGTGGGTGGTTAAAAAGCACAAGGGGACAGGACAGGGCAAGGAATCGCCTTCTTTAAACGCAAAAAAAAACAAAAATACGGACCACGGGAAGAAGGCAAGTTGGTTTGGGGTGCAGCAAGGGACTTCTGGCAAGACAATCAATTTGATTGCAGTTTTTTTGTCGCTCCCAAGAATCCATCCCACGTGGGGAGGATGACAACGTGTAGAAGGGGAAGAGAGGTCGTGAAATGTGACGGAAAGGACCAACAAATTCGACTATTAACGCGTTGACATTAGCCAGACAACAAGAGGAAACGGCTAGTGCCCATGTTGCTTGTGTGAGTTCAGAAGACGAAAAGAAAATCAACCAGCCCGACGTCACCTCAGACTAGGAGGTCAAAAACCAGCCCGTATTGTGAGTGCGTGAGGTGAAGTCAACTAGTTCGATTGGTAATAATCACCACCACCATCATCGTCATCACCATAAATTAAAAATTCTCCGAAAATACCAGTATAATAGCGGTGACCTAGTCAAACACTACGTTGCCAGCGAATCGCGAACAACACATCGACAGCCAAAAACATCGGGTCCCCACCAGCCAATCAGGTGTAGGCCCGGGGAGTGTTTTGTGAAGAGTGATGGGTTTGGTCGAACGACGCAGCGTGGATCCGTGGTGTTTGTTTTACAAACCGTCAAATAAGTACAACAACCGGTTCCATTGGCAGATTAAGCATGAACTTTGATCTGTGCGCGCCACATTACGGAGACCAAAGTTGATTGTCGACGTCTTTGAAATCGCAAGTAAGCAAGTACCCAGGATGAGGGAGTGGTGGGTGTTGCGTAGGGCTCTTGAAACAACCTCAACCGATCAAATTCAGCGCGCAGATGGCAGGTAGGCAGTGCGTATCGCGGCAACAGCATTAGTCGATGCTATGCGCCGGTGGATCAATGACACAGCCCTGGCTGGTTCATTTGCATGTCGCCTTGACAACACCACAAAACCGATTAGACAAATCAGCCGCATTACCAATTGGAGGAGGGCATTTGCGACGGGTTAGCATCCGAGAGAAAACATCTAGCAGGGTGTGACAACCTCGAGTTTACCACGGTTGCTTTTTGTTGTGGCATAAAAAAATACCACAGGGAATGGGTGCTGACCTTGTTTAAATTGACAGAATTCCACGCAATTTAAATTCCCCAGGAGGGAGAGTAAAATCAAGGGGTTACAAGTGGAGCCGGAGGCTGTGAGGTGTATTAAGCAACAATGAGGAATTGATCGAAGCTTATGGCGGTTATTTCCAAAATCTTGATTTATACAATGACTGAAAAGACTTATCGCGGGGTCTAGGAATGAGCGCGTTGTGAAACGCAGTTTCCAAGACTACAAATTAAGTAAGGTGATTGCACGCCCGAGTGCCGGAAAACCTATCTTTCAGACAGACAGACAGACAGGCGAGAGGCCATTAACGGGCTCCTCCACACCGCGTCTAGTCACCGCACATTCGGTAAATGTCGACATTTCGGCAAACCCGATGCGAACAACTCAAATGTCTCTCAGGCCAATTCAAACTCCCGCCCATCTCTGGGGACCAATTAGAATGGGCGCCGTGACACGTAGCTGGAGACGGCACAACGCACATCGGGACAAGGAGAAGCGTCTGCAGGGGGTCCTAATCAGACTAAACAATGCGACGCAGCGACGGTGTGGCGAAAAGGAGGAATGCGCGTCAGATGGGGAGCGCTGTGTACCACTCACGTCTGAGTCCTCGTGTCGTGGCCAATCGGAGACAGCGAGGGAGGTGCTTGATTCACCGACACTACAGCACTAGGTGGCAGTGGTTCGGGACGACAACAGACATGCAATTGCACAAAACAACGAGCAGTCGTTTTCAAGTGTTTGTGCTTACTTACAGTTGACGCAGAACTTACGAAGTTTGCAACTAAACAAAAGACATGGGTTTTACAAAAAAATTGATACAAATATCCACGTGTGAGCGCAGCAACTTGTGCCAAGACGGCAATCGCTAGGGCGGAAACCCTGCCACTTGCCAACAAATCACTGAATATGGCGGCAATAATTGCAGGCAAGTGACAGGCAGGCATCTATCTATGTAAAGTTCGGCTGGATCATAAAATAACGCAGCCAGAGAGCCAACGGCGTGTCCACGATACACACAGCCCGGTACACACGCACACACACACACACACACACACATCCAGAATGCCATCAAAGCGGTCTCGAACTAACAACACAGCCTAGGGTGGCGTGAACAGGTCGATAACGGCACACAGTGGGATGAGAACTTGTGTAAGTGCCTATTGGTCTTACAACAACTTACAAACTGAGGATTAACAAGGTCGTGTCTCCAGGAAATTAATCAATAACAAAAATTTGACACAAAAGAGGGATGCTTGAATCGTCATTACAGAAGATAACCACGCGAAGCACGCCACTCATCATCGGTATCATCATTATTGCACTCACGATTGGCCTTCTCTTAAACATAATTTATGCATCACGACGGCTAAACAGCTCTGCATTAATGAATTCTCGAATGTGTGCATGCGCGAGCGCGAGCGCGCGCTGCAATTAAATCAAAAGAAGACAACGAAGAAGAGAAGACGCAGGAATGAAAAATAACCGAGCACTTCGGCACCAATTCGTTGGAGGCGATTTGCTAAATTTCCTACTTAATCGAAGACGATAAATTAACCCCCCCCCAGCCAATAAGAGAGGCGGGACGGTTGGGGCGAATGCCGCGAAGAGATTATTGGTTGGCAGGAGAGGTGAATACTTCACATACCACATGCACAAACACACACACACACACATTTATCCCTGAATAGTTAACGACAGACACGCTGACAGCTTAGAGTAATAAAAATCGGTAGTTGAAAACCGGGCGGTGGAAATGTAAGTCGCGTTTTGTCCCACAAATTGTGAGCACGCAAATTCACATCGTTTGAACACAGAGGTGCACTTAAGCCAGAGTGAAGCGTGTTTTTGACAAAGGCATTTTAACGGGCACAAGTAGGCGGTCCATCGAGAATGTCCAAACATGCATGCACTTTAAACCATTGGCGGTGAGTAGGTTATTTGGATAGTTAAAGGGCGGTATGTAGTAGCGTAGATTATTTCATTCGGAAATTTCTACCTACATGACATAGTTAAGATAGGTTCCACACATACTTTAAACGTAAACAATGCCGAAGGATGAAAGCTAATTACCAACACTAAGTATGTACTTTAGATGCGAAAAACGACTACCACGAAAAAGGGATGGTCAGTGAGGATAGAAAAAGGCTGATACAATTACACATAAATTCACGGGCAATATATTGCGTCAGGCTACACAATAAACGCTAAAATTCATTTCCTCGATACCCGCCTAACCCATTGAACAGGATAAAATTTTGTGTTGGATTAAATGTTAATACAGGACAAAAACGCGCGTCAGAAATTCAAAAAACTCAATCTGATGAAAATATCTACGATTGCTGTGGTTAAATGACTCAAAAACAAAAATGAATGAAAAGTAAGAAAGAATTAAAGAGCAGTGAGGTAAAAAAACTGTGGATTCTTAACTTAAGTCATAAGGGTGACTCAGTAAAAAGGAAATTAAATTTAAGCATTACATTAATGAAGGGCCAAGTCGGGTTAGTGTAAATGACTGCACATCACTCATGTATAATAAACCAAAATTAGGCATAAAAGCACTAGCCACCACAAAATCCCACAAGTGGACACAACACCTTACCATATCATCTATTTCCTTGACATCCTCCTCTGACAATTCGTACAATCCATCGTCAGATCCTGTGGAAGGCACCGCTGCATGTCTTTGGTCTTCGTGTCGCCGAGTGTTGGAATTGTTGGTACCGCCATTATTTACAATATGGTGCGGAGGATTAGGTATGACGGAGGGCTGAGTTACCGGCTTAATTGTGTAGCCCATTTCGGTAGGTTGGTAATTCGGTACAGTGTCCGATCTGATAGAAAGCATTGAGTCTGTGGACATGGTGGATTCGGAAGCAGGTCCACCCTCTGGATATCCGGTGTTTTCCGATGTTGGAGGATGCTGAGGAACTGCTTGGAGGAAGAATGGTCCATTTTCTGGCCCACGAACGGAAGTGGGAGAAGAAACGGGAATTGGGTTAAGATAGGCCGTCATGGGAACTCCAGCGGATATCACCGATGTTTGGGTGGGCTGCAGAATTGGCTGCGGGCAGCCAGATACAGCCCAGTAAGGATCCCCGGCGTGGTACCTGACGGGTTGAGCTTGTGGAGAAAGTGGGGCATAGTAACCGTTTTTTGAAAAAACGATAACCCCGTTTGACGGAGTTGCGGTTGCAATGGGTACACTTGAGGCCTCTGGATGTGAATAGCTTTGCTGGGAAAAATTGGGGTCTTCCGTTAGGTCATAGGCAACCGCAAGAGCAGCACCAAGACCCAGGCTGCCAGCAGATGTTTCATTTGCGTTTTGCGGTTCCGTAATTGATTCCATCTAAAAATAAATGCAGGAAACATTGGAGTGATGGTGTATTCTCTACACTACCTCCAAAAACAAAATGTCCAGGAAACGTAACAGTTAAATTAAGATTGAAGAAAAAAGGTACGACAAAATACCTGACGTGAACACTAGCAGTTCAACCTGTTTCAGAGAGAACATAAAAGTTTTATTAGCAAAATGTGGTAAAAAAAAAAACAAAATAGCTTCAGAAAAATGTAAAAATTATCGAAAGCATGTATGAATACATTTTTCAGGATTTTATGATAAATAATTTTTGCAAAAAACACTTACTTGTTTGTAGCCTACTCAAGGAACATGCAAACCGCGTTCCGAAGTACGGCAGAGATTTGCCACCTGATAACAAAAGTATCGTTTCCTGATTGGCCTGCAAAAATAAACAATCAGGTTCAAGGCTATCCAAAGGCCACATTAATTATTCTCTTGACTAGAAAGATGAATTTCATATAGCATTAAGTTTTATCAAAATAGATAAAGCGTCTTATTGTAGTCTTTATGTAATGTACTTTCTAACAAGAGCTGAGGTACTTTTCATGCAATGCATTTAAATCAATGATATACTTAAATGTGTTACACTTGACGTGAATGCAGTAACGTAAACTTGTATTATTATAGATAAAGCATTGTGCAGCTTTAGAGCATACAAATAGTGAAACTGGCGGTAGTAATTTCGTGAAACACTTTCATTGTGTTCATATTTTCGGTGTATTTGATTTTTATTAATAACACATTCTTTTAGTTAAATTGTTACTTTTTAAAGTGTCATAACAAATATATGGTGCAATTCTACTTACAGTCTTGATTGAATAAATGTTGGACGGTTCCAAAATACTGCATTAAGTAATAAGGAAAATTTGGGTCTTTAATTATAAGATTGAATATTCAATCTTTTGAGGTAGAAACAAGGTTCCTTCGCAGATTTTAAAGATTATTATTCCAATTATTAACGTTTCAGTGCAAAAAATCGTTTTGCAGTATTCCTAATGCTACTTAGTAAAAAATGTCAGAAACTACTCAGCATGTGATTTTAGTATTTAATGATGCAATTTTCTGCAAATTTAAGGCCAGTAAAAAAATGCATACAATTGCCAGAGCGCAAGTAGCCAAACATTATCACCCTTAGACAAATAGTAAGTCGTAAGATCGTATAAGCCTTAGAGGTACATGCCTGGCAACATTTTGTTTATCGATAATCTATTTTAAATCAACCCAAAATTGAGGAACATTTAGGCCTGTAAGACGAAATCTTATCAACTTCGATAGACTTGTAAGTAATATTTTACTGATGTTAGGATATCCATTCGCTTTGTTTTCATTTACTCAACTGAAGCGATAAACCATTAAAGTGATTAATACTTTTTGAATCCAGTTTGTCATTCTAAATCTTGATCTGTCTAAATGCAGTTAAATTTGTCTCTTGAATTCTCATTATAAAAGTACGAGATTATATTTAATAAACTTAATATTCCTGTATTTGCTTTAAAAAATTTAAGTATAAAAATCGATTATCGTTCTGATATTTCGTTTCCAGCCTCAACTTTTTGGTTCATAGACCTTATTGTCTGAGACCTTTAACAGGTTTTTAAGTCGCTTAATGAAAAAAATGGGAATGTTGCAAATTTTTCTTGCGAAATTACTCAAGAATATACAAATTGCCTACTCAGGGAATATTAATACACTCTCCTCTCAATAATACAAAGACGTGAGTGAACACAATCGCGTCATTTAAATCCAATGTTTTGCTGAGATTCAGACACATTTGCCAATACGCCCATATTCTTATGCTTAGTACATCAGGAGTGTATGCTATGCATGTGCATTATATTAGGTGGCAACACATTGGCTCCTACCAATGAAAACGTTCTCATCCGTAACCACTACATTTCTTGCAAAGTCTCCTAGGAATATACAAATTTCCAATTAGCGGTTTTGTGAATTCCACGTGCTACGAAGGAAGGTAACGTTTAACTTTACTTAAAGCACATTCGCTATACACAGGGGCAACAAAATCCGCGAATGTTAATCGAAGGAAGTAGATATCAGAATTCGGCCAGTCGGCATCGCGGTCACATCGACGAGCTGCTAATTAGCCAAGTTGATTATAAGTACTGCGAAATAGGTCAGTTTTGGGCGAGAAGACAGAGCACTTTTTCGCGCGGCGCGCAGGGGCCTCCGCCTCTGAGACGCGCAGAAGCGGAGCTTGTTGCTTCGATGGCGGCACCTGGGCCAGGAGATTCCGCGCATAATTTGAACCCAATAAACCCGCCTCAAAGAGGGCCGTGGAAATGCGGTTTCGGCGATCCTTCTGAATTTGCGCATCCGTGAAGGTTGTAATCGGATTGTCGATGGTGACGTAGAATTTCAGCAGTTCACGAGCCTCGACCACTTCCTGCTCCTCTGGAAGTGTCGTCTGTTCTAGACGGTGACGCCAAGACTAGGAAGAGGTGGTAGAAAGGCTGATAAGTCTGCACAAACCCAAAGGTATCACCACCAGTTGATATTTGTTGCGACAATTCAGAAACTTGACAAAACCGTTTTGTACGAATTTTGATTCGATCTATAAAGTCAAACGGAAGATTTGTATAAAACCCTTCCAATCACCCGATTTGTAAGACATGACTGTCGTTATTGGGCGATTGAACAATCATAGAAATTTTGGCTATAACAAATGTGCTTAACTATTCGATTTTACCCCCAAAAACTCAAAATTCCGCGCAAACTTGCAAGTCAATTGAAAGCAAATTTTAGTAAAAAATTCACTTACCTCAGTACTGGAGTAAACTCTAAAGGGGTCATCCGGTACCACCGGTCGCACCTGTTTAAAATAAACAAAAAATTTGCCAGATTACATTGTCATTTTCTTAAACTGACCGCTAATAATAGTATTTTGCAAATAACTAGTAATTGCGATGTCAAACAAAGCTCAGTTTTTGAGTGCTTCACCAAAAATCAGAAGGAATCCGTGCGGACATAATGGGTGGATTTTTCCTGCGATGTTTTAACCTTGCGAGGCAGTGTATTAGTTAAGTAAGGAACACCATATTGGCTGCGCCCTTCAGTATGTATTGCTTCTCATACGTGTCTGTGTCTGGTTGGCTGCATACTTTCCTCGCATGCTATTGGAACTCAAAGAGACAGGGAATTGGATGAGGCCAGCGTGATACAACATGTCTGCGCCCTTATACGTCGCTGCACCGCCTTAACTGTAGTGAAGTTACACTGTATAGAGATCACAGGTGACTTCTTTGTGATTGGTGTTTCCGCAAACCAATCAAAACGCCCCTAACGTGAAACTTTTCAGGCAGGCCGCTCACCTTAGCACGAATCGCCTCAAGTCGAGCTTCTGCTTCCTCCTTTTGCCTTGCCAATTCACCGAGCGCCTCGACACGTAGCTCAGACTGTCGTTTGAGTCTCGCCTTCGCCATCTCCACCAGACGCTTCGTGTCTTTGCGTCGTTGCTTCTCAAAAACGCGACGCAGTTCTTCCATGCGTAGGCGTTCTGCTTCCTCAAACTCCGCCTGTTCTCGCAGTTGGGATTCCTTACGATGCCGCAGCTATCAAGGTTTTAACTTGATTCTTAACTACAAGGTTTGGTCAATTTTGCTGATCCTACGACGATATTATGTGCTAAATCACCCCGGTTGTAATGGCGAAATTTGGTACAGGAAGGTAGAATCTAATAGGTCAGTACGACTCATTCAAAAATTCATCTTTCTCTGATTGGTTAGAAAGGCAACGCATCCAACCACCGAGAATCTGGCAGTATTGTTGACTCATTCCGAAGAACGTCACATGTCAAATGAATAATGACTACTTTCATACAGGCTAAAGACACGAGATCAAACAGAAGCAAATTACCTTGTTTTTAATTATCTGACGACGATGTGTTTCGCGGTCTTGTCGTTCCTTTTCCTGCGCCATTTTGACCTTGCGCTCGGCTTCCTTGGCGCGAAATTCGAGTTCCTCCAATTCCGCTTTCTGCTTCCGCCATTGCTGTACCTAAAACGAGAAAATAATATCTCCTGTCATTATTTCAGCAAACCAGATTCAGGCAACAAAGTGATTAGATTTTGAGATTTCGGACGCATTCCGCAATTTAAATTGACTATGTGCGTATTTTCTAATCAGCTGATTTCTCGCAATCTTTTCGATTTTTCGCAAGGCCAAGTTTTCACAGGAAACTAATTTTATTCTGAGAAGAATAACGCCCATGTAAATTAGCCATAAACTGTACTATTCAACTGCTGCTTGCTTTAAGACAAAATCCCAGTCTTAGCAATCAAAAAGCCCAAGGCGATTAAACTAAAAGGAAGTTCATAAGTTTGAAAAATGCGCCAACTTCACATGGCACTACGTCAAGGTCACAGAGCTATGCAGTTAAAAATGGGCGTTATCCCAATAGGTTTCCTTAACAGTGTAAATATACAGCTCTGAGCCCCAAACAATCCACTTATATGGTTATTTTATTGTTGAAATTCCTCGTCATTAATCCTTCTTTCCGGTAAATTGTGTGAACGGGTCCATGCACCTACAGCTCTGATTGGTTGGCCATGAGTTAACAAACTCTCGCAGTTACTTAGGATGTCAGGAACGTGCATCGTTTCAAGCTGCAAGTCAGCTAACTGGGGGATTATTACTAGTGCAGTAAATCAGGAAATCGAACGAACCTGTTCCGCGAGCTGTTGGCAAATCATTCTTTGCTTCTCCACACTGGCTTGTTCTTCCTTTTTTCTGATGTTCGACTCAATGGCATCCTCGAGGGTCAGTTGGATGCGGTCGGCGAGATCCTGTCGGGCTCGCGTCCACGCTTGTACCAAGTCCTCCAATTTCATTTTTTGGACATCGTGCACTCTGATAAAATCCATTAGCTGCGACTGCAAATAATGTCAATAACAAATATCAACTGATTTCGTTTAAGTAGAAGCAATTTGTAAACAATTTTTAACAGGTCGCATTGCACAATTAAATGAATTTGTGTTTTCAACCGATTGAAATTTTAACGACTAACTTACAAAAGGCTTTTTTGACTTGATTGTGGGTATACGAGAAAGAAGGTCTATGCAGGTCTCACGTCTTCTTGGCACTTCCGAAGAATTATACACTTCCCACAGGAATTCAGCAAGATACACTTCCTCATCCTTCCATTTATCAAGACTGGAAGGAAACAAAAAAGTCCGGCTTTCGAAACACTTGCAGGGTATTTGAAAAATTAATACGTCTGTGCAACTCACTACTCCCTTTCCATTTCAGTAAACTCTTTTTTGACGCCCTTGATTTTACCAAGAAAACCAGTGTCAAGGTGAATGAACTCTGAAAGGAGGTTGTCTCGGAACACCTCATCATGAGTTGGCCATTCCCATGCCTCCGATGGTATTCCCCCGTGATTCTCTGCAGCATCCTCTAAACTCAGCCGTCTGAATGTATCCAATCTGGACGCTGAATTTGACATAAGTAATACTTCACAAGTCACTTACCAAGAGGAAATGCGTTAAATTCAATTTCAAGCTGCACAAGTTTAAAGGTTTCCACCTCGATAGCTGAGTTGGCATCCCTCAACTCAGCGCGAAGCGTTTGATTGGATCGTCTTGACTGCTTAATGTCCAATCTGCACTGTGGTTGGTTAAAAGTAAGCAATTCTCACTCACCTCAATTGGCTGAGGGGCTTTATCACCTCTGACACAAATACCTCCAAGTCCTTGGATTGAGCCTCGTGCAATTGGGACAGGCTAACATTATTCTCATCCCACTTCAACAAGTTTAAGTCGTCGTTTTTGTACACCGAGGTGTTCAACTCGTCGACGAGGCTTTGCTCAATCGCCTGCTGCTTACGACAGGCGTCGAGCCAAATGACGAAGTGTGTTCGGAGCATCTGTGAGTCCTTTGTGCACTGTCTGGACCTGGCTAGGCTTTTGAGGCGTTGGTCGATCTCACTCATATCCTTCGTCACCTGAGCCTTCACCGCTTCAACCTCCTTCAAATTCGCGGGACGCAAGTGGCGAAATTTCATTCTGGCGTCCATCGATGCGAGGATTTAGCCAAACGCGACCCGTTAATAAAGCTAAATTTTCAGCAAAATAACTGACTTTTTTATATACGAAATATCATGTTTTACGTCTGCAGCAAACTATTTCAAGTTAACCATTACTTGAAGATTAAGACAAACGTACTGCCTTACAAAATGGTAAATATATCAATGTAAAAAAAAATCAGGTAATAATTTTCACATTAATTAAGTGACAACGAAAAAGAATTAATCTGCAGTACATTACTTTCAGATTTAGCATTAAAAAATTAGTTAGGTACAATCGTCACATTTTAGCAGCAACCTCAATGGTTCAAAAGAGCCAACCCTTCAAATGGTGATATTTAAATCATAATAAGTGACATGAATTTTAATTCGGAAACTTAGCTCGTCAAGCCACATGAACCTTCAAATGAAGGCTGTGGTAAAAAAACTCAAAATGTGCAACCGCTTATATTGTAGTTTAATTTATATGCATACGCAAATGTCATTTAAATTCCAGATGTTATTGATGTTTAAATGCAAGAATTCAATTTGATGAGGAATATACTGGATTCTAGGCTAACAGAAAAACATCAAAAAATACACTTTTTCGAAACCCTGTTAACCTGCTCCCTCCTTTGAAAAACTGTTCAAAAATTAATTTAATGACTGAAAATAAAAAAGCCAACCCAGCCTTTTAGCATAAAAGCTCACTATGTTGACAGATATTTAATTCAAAAATTTAACTTAAATAACTTTGAAAACAAGGTACCATTTCAATGTATAGAGCGATACAAAAATGTCCAATATTTTGTTTTATTAACTATTATACTCCAGATAGGATTTGTGTTATCATTTTTAGATTTTTTGCGAATATACATCTAAAATACATGCGTTTGGCTTCATGAATGTCTGTAAATAATACAACCACGGTATACTTTTGCACACAGACCTTGACGGTTAATGTGCTGCAATTTTTCAGCTGATTCTGAATGTTTCATATCATCGGATAATTTTGATTTGTTAATTTGAAGGTTACATTGATTGCTATGGTTAAGCTGGTTTAAATATCATATTGTGAAATCAGTCAAGAAAATGCACAAAACCTAGTTTATGCTTTTTAATTGTTAATCTAGTTTTTTTAGCACTTTATTTGTAAATTATTTGCATATATGTCATGCAATTATCTGATATCTTAATTAGACATTTTCATGAAAATCAATTTCGGATTTGGTTTTGCTATGGAACCGACGAGAGATATTACACATTCAGTGTCATAATCACCTCACAGATTACGTTTATTTTTGACTTTGTCAAATGACTCATACATCATAAAACGTACTTTAATGGATTTTGTTATTTCGACAATTTTACTGAATAAATTTTTTCCATGAATCCACGTGGGTTTTGAGTATATTAAAAATTAAATATTTGGCAAAATGTTTCCTGTTAAGTGAGAGGATAAAGCAAAATTCGTTTTACTAGATTACGCTTTCTAAAAAGCTGTTCATGCTGTTCAATATATGGAACTCGATGTTGCTCCCTATCTGCAATTCCTATTTGCGACTCCTCAAAAAAGTCCTTGATTAAAGAATAACTTTTCTTTAAACATTTTTTGTGAACATTAAAGTACATCTGAATAACGTTGCATTTTTTGCACCATTCACTAACTAGTACATGTCGTTTCGTCGCAGAAGCACATGGCTGCGTTTTATATGTTGTCTGCTAATGCATTGCTAGATCATCAGAACTTGTTTTTGGTGGTACTAAAAGTTCTGATGATCTAGCATCAGAACTTGCTTGTATATTGGTTCACTTATTGCTGATTCCAGAGCTACTCATGAGTCCTTTCGTCCATCCCAAGATTAGTAATGTGAATAATATTGTTGCACAACTGACGTAACTACATACTATGTTTCTTTGTTGCCACAGTTCTGTAACAATGCCGACAAAATAAAAAAGTTGATTTTGATACATCTCTCGAAACACATTAAAAGAGCGTAAATTCTTAAATTTGAAGGATATATTCCTAAGAAAGAGCATGCAAAAGTCAGTGTAAAAATGCTTTAGCGAATTACGGAGTGCCTATTTATCTAGAAAATGTTAGCCGCCCTTATCGTTCACGTCTTTTTCTAGATCAATTCAGGATTAAAATCTGGCATCCTTTTTGTTTGACATATGTCTGTGTGAACTAACTTAATATCTTACCTAAGCACACAGTTTAATTTAAATTTCACTGAATTCCCACCCCCGAAAATAATCATTATTCGTGATTTACAATTACAATCAATGAGAAACAAGCCCTCAACTTTCTAATCCCGTGTTTAAAAAACCTTCACTCAACGAATTTACATGACATTCGAGGCCTTTTTAAACATTCAGTTACCAATCATTGTGACCTTAGTCAAGTTGTGTTAATAGGTATACGCGGATTTTGCGTCTGCCGGCAGTTTGGTTATTTTCTTTTTAAAAATTTCTGTCTTCTGATAAAGTCGCTGGTTTGTTTAAATCAAAAACATGAAAGGATTTATAATTTCGTCAGGTGTCAATCAAAGTTGATTTTTTAACGAACGTGTTTGGGAGCAGCCATTGCGCTTCCTACAGAATTATAATATATTTTTAGCGATAAATCCATGTAGACATTCTATTTTCATGATTTTACCTCTTCCTATTAATCAATTATATCAGGTAAATACCGCTAAAATGACCTTCAGAATAGTGACCGAAAATGCGGCTAATTTGTTTTTTAAATCAATGTACAAATTTCCTATGCTGTCGTGGCACTAATTTCAGTTGTTACGGTGACGAACTTTGCTATAAAATCAATGCTAATGTTGTAATTCGCAACTAATAGACGAGGCGTATAACTTGACGCAAGATAATTTAATATAGCGTGCCCAAAGAAGACGTGCTGCATGTCAAAAGGCCGGTTATTTATCTCGTTCATCCAATTATATTTACCACCCTTGTTCATTGGCTGATTTTAAAAATGAAAAGTATTTCAGGCAATTTTGATCTCACTAAAATGATCGCAAACATTATAAGGGCTAATACGGATTGTTTTTTTGTAAACGCCATTCAAGCCGGGGCAGTTTGAAGGAGAGTTCTTTGGTAGCGCAAACAATCACATTTGTTTTCTTCTTGGGTGTTCCATTAATGACCGCCAAAATGATTACAAGTGTTTCGTACCTCGAAAAGTGAAGTTTGTGTGCGTACTTGTGCGTTTCGTAGAAAAATATTGTCCCCTGGTGCAACACACCACCGTGTGGCTTTAAATTCACACAAACATACTGCATTCATCGATCACACTAGGCTATGAGTTATCGCGAGGTGAAAATTAGCCCATATTTAGGACATGGTTGTAAAAACGCCTAGTTCCAGGTTAACCACTGTTAATTGACTTTTCTCAGATATTTTTCTCCTACATTTATAGAGAACTGCCAGTGTACAAATAAAATATTCGAAATAATTCTAGAGAAATGTGTTTTCATTTCTGATTGGCTAGCATAGTGTCTAAAACAGTACAAACAAACGGGCAAGCGTATGCAAGTTGCCACGTGGATTCTCGGATTTGACGTAATAACTCGATTAAATTAACCTTGAATCGCGTGCGTTTAATGAAGCCCAAACGCACACCACACAAACGCAATAAAGCGTTGTCTCAAATAACAAGTAATCAAGTTTGCAGGAAATGCTGGTCTACAGGCTACGAAAAAATTTAACCAGAATTGACTATCCAACATAAATCACAAACCCAGCTACCAGTCACGTGGTTGTACTTTCTGGTTATTTTCTATAGAATGCTTTGGGACAACGTTAGCACTAACAGCTACTCGCTCATTGGTCGACCGGCATCCAATCAACTGGTTTGACGTTGATTCGGAAGGCGAGTTTTAGTGTGCTTGTTCCTGCATAGTGCCAACTAAGATAGGACACATAAAATTGTTGGGAGCACACGTCAGGACACACAAAAACGTCTAATCTTGGGGAACCTTGCGAAATATTTGCAGGAGTTGAGATTTACTGAATGACACTATCTCGGAGAACACAATTAGAAAGGACCGTGTAGGGTGACCTTGACAGATAGAATAACTCAAATCAGGGGCCAGCCAATAGGGCGAGCGCGCGGTCAATATGAAATAGGCGGATAGGTGTGCAGAGCCTGTTCGACAGGTGGAAGATTCCAAAATCACCTTCTGCGCCCAATTCACCCAAAGGACAGGTTTATTTACATCACACTGAAATACAATTGTTAATTAAACCATGAACACTTTTCATCACACACTCACATACAGGTCCATGACCGAAGCCAAATTGAGGGTATCACTCAGGCCTCAATCGACATGAATTAAATCGTCGACGTACGCCCACGCCACCCCCAGCTGTTTAGCCGCTGTTCGATGTTTCGTGTTCGTTCCGGCATCAAGCAAATCAGCCGTATCAGTTGCCTTCACTGCTACAGGTCGTTCGAGTTACCCAAACGGCGCATCACCTCTTAAAAGCGTTGAGTTAAATAATTCTCCAGCCACTGGAACGAGTAGGCATTACAGTACGGCTTTGAAAAATTAAAATCTTAACACAGAACTGCAAAAGCCAACCAATTTCAGGGAATCTTGTTTTTGACTAATCACACCTGTATCCGCTTGTTTAAATCGACAACAAAATACGGGTTACAATCACGGTATACCATGTTCACATCACTTTGTTTTAATCCTTTGACTGTACACAAGAGCCAATAGGAATTAGTTCACACGACGAGCTGTGCTTAATTGGAACGCAGGCATTTTTGTTATTGTTTTCGTATTCCTAATCGATGACTTTGTTCCAACGCAATTAACATCGATGTGTTTATCTGAACTGAAACCGCGTAAACAAGCGGTGTTTACACACGTGCAACCAAATTTAGAAAATCGAATCTACTCTGCAACAAATTGTTACTGTAAGTAGAATGCGAAGCCAACTTATCACCAGGACAACCAGCTTCATTGTTGGCTTATATCGTAATAAACATCACGGAAAACTGAATGAAATTCTGGCATTATAGACTATTCGAGGCAGAATAATTAAGCTAATGCCGACACAAGATCTCGCAACCTCGTAAAAAAACAGCAGACCAGAATTCCACGTGAGAAAGTTCCTCGTGAATAATTGGTTTCTGACACGGTCGCAATCGACTTTATATGTAACCATTGACTCCAAATTGAGATTTCGATGTGGGAGGATTTAATTTATTCTGTAAAAACTTTTATGGTTAATTGCTCTTATCGCAAAAGGTATCGAACAATCAGAAAGCCACGTTATAGTTTCCAGGAGTCGTTTGTCATACGACATCCAAGGTGGAATGCCTCGCAAGTCGACAAGACTCGACGCTCGCCGACAGCATGTGAACCGATGGAATGGAATCGTACACACTCTGCGACCCACCAAAAGACTGCAAATAACTTCAAACATTCGCCTTGGGAGCCCAACCCACCTGCTTAAAGTGGTTTGGAGTCAGTCTGCGAAGTAGCATCAGCAAAGGGCGCAGATGTCACGACAATGCGAAAACTGGTGCGAACAACGTCCCACAGTACATAAACGACACACACACACCAAAGACAAAATCACACCTTGTGAACACCCTCCGAAATTAGCATTTGCTAGCAACAAGGTGATCGACCACGACCCCACGAAGAGTCAGACGAGACCAACTACCCAACGCCATCACACCTTGGTCGAGCATAAATTCCGTCTGTGCGCACGAGAAACAAGCAAAATTGCCGAATAATCGATCTATAATACAGTACGGTACATTGCTTATGCAGGTGTGTGTGCGTGTGTGTATTTGTGGGTGGGTTTCGCTGACGCATGCTCTTCACTGTCAATCCACAAAAGACCTTCACGTGTGGGAGGAGCAGGGAGAGAGAGAGAGAGGGAACGAACGGACCGCTATCAATCAAAAAGTCGATTTTCAAGTGGTAGAAGAGAGGTGTGTATTAGCGGCACAAAAGCAAGTTCGAGATGGGGAGAGGGCCGAACGAGGAACACACGTAAAATACATTGTTTCAAGGAGCCGCGAGATAGAGAGCTAGGCATTGGGGTTGACGGGGCGTGGGTGGGTGGGGGAGGAGGAGCCAGGTGTAGAAAGTGAACAAACCAACTTCACACACACACAGTTAACCGGACAGTGGAGGTATTTGTGCCTATGATGCATCAAATTAGCGCGCTCACAGGCGCACCAATCGCTATCATTGCGACGACGAAGGCTGTAACAGGGCCTGCTGCTGCTGCTCATCGCCTGCTGAGCTGGAGGGGGGCATCGATGTGGCGCTGGGATTGCACCCCACACCACCACCACCACCGCCGCTGGTGTTTGCACCACTCAATGACGTCATCTGCTGTTGTTGTTGCTGTTGTGGTCGGATTTGAGGCGGAAAATTGGGCTGAGAAGGCGGAAAAGCTGGCGGCATCATCCAATTGGTCCCTCCGTTGTTCAGTCCGGCGGGATTCGCGCTGGCGCCGCCGCCGCCACCGGGCGCTGATTGGTTCGGCCAGGGACAGAGATTGGCCAAGGCTGCGACCGCGGCAGCTGTGCTCGCCATGAGGGACTGCTGCTGCTGTTGCTGGTGACTTGGTCCGCCCGATACACCCAGACCACCTCCTACAGAAGTTGACAAAGGAATCATCACCACGAATAAGTAAAGCTATATCCATTACAGGAACTTAAACTAGTGGAAGCGACACTCACCAACGTTTTGTGACCAGAAGGCGGGATGAGGGCTTTGGTGGTGGAGAGGGGTGGACCAGGAAGCGTTTGAACCGGAAGGATCTTGATTAGACTGCTGCTGTTGCTGTTGCTGCTGTTGCATCAGGAGAGCCATGAGAGCCTGATTGGCGGCAGCGGCGGCCACGGCACTTTGACCGCCGCCGCCTCCGCCGCCACCGCTAAACGGCGACTGATTCGTGCCGACAGTCGCCATGGAGGCACTGCTGCTGGGCACAACGGAGGACGAAGCAACTGACGCCTGATGGCAGCGTCGCCGTTCAGCTCCAATCGGAGTGGGTTGTGGGTGAGGCGGCTGCTGAACTGCAGGAGATCCACCTCCTCCTCCGGTCGCCATGGCAACGGAAGGGAAGCCGTAATTGGAAGGACCGCCACCTACGCGTACAGAAATTATAACAAATACAATATCACGTGGCATAAGTGTGGCGACACAGCGCACAACGTCAAAATCGATGAAAATTGGCACATATAAAAGTACACAAAAGGACCAGTACCCGGATATGGCTGTCCGCTTCCGCCGAGGTAGCAGCTCTGATCAACCGGCTGTTGCGAGGACGACAATCCCAAACCGAAGGACTGGTGGTGATGCATGTAGGCCTGTTGAGACTTCGTGTGGAGGTTTTGCGACTGAACCAACTGTTGATGCACCGGATTCAACCTTGAGGGAAGGTAGGCGCTAGAGGTGGTGTTTCCAGAGGCGGCGGCGGAGGCTGCGGCAGAGGGGGCCGGGGTGGTGCCACCGTTAGCCAGACCATTGAATAACGAGAAGTCACGCTGTGGAAAGGCGTTGCCGTGTCCAGCGACAGCAGCAGCAGCCGAAAATGCTGCGGCGTAGGCCTCCGAGGGTGGCGCACCATTGAGTTTGGGGTTGTTACCGGTCTGCTGCGACAACCTGTAGCTCGACTGCAGGTGGGATGGGAACAGCGGGGTCAGCGGCTGGTCGTCGATTGTGGACGAGGTGCTGTCGAAATTGCGCATACTCATGGTATTTTGAAGCAAGTGTGCGTAATTAGGGGTGGGAGCTGTGTAGTCATAGGAACCGCCCCCACCGAATGCGCTGTCAGTTCCGTTGGCACTGAAGTCTGACCACATGCCGTGTGAGGACGCGGAATCAAACTGACTCGATGGTGGCTGATGCTGCAGTGTCGGGTGCTGGGAGGTCGCAAAGAGCGAATCAAGGCTGTCGGTGGGCTGAGTCGACGCCTGTGGCTGACTTGGTGCCGAATTGATCGAAGTAGGTGCCTCAGACGGGGTGCTGAAGAGGGACTCGTTGCCGAATGCTGAACTCACGGACACCCGCTTCGTGGGAGTCACCGCTGAGCCTCCAGCTGAATCGGTCAGGCTCGTAATGACTGGGGTGATGAAGGCCGTGGTAGCAGCAGCAGCCCCAGCGTGACGGTTGGCGCTCCTCTCCGAGCCAGGGGCTCGAGCGAAGGGACGCGAGGACCCAATCGGAGCAACTGGAGTCCGCGATACCGGCGTGGACTTTTGGGCCTGTGGCAGCGGCGTTTCGACCGACGATCCACCAACCAATGGCTCTACAGGAGTTTGCGCTTGGGGCTTCTCGACGATGGCAGTGGGAAGTGGACCCAAAGACGTCGAAACGGGCTGCTCCTCGGACTGTGGCGTGGGCAGACTCATTTTGCGAGGCGGCGAGTCCGGAGGCTTGCTGGTGGAAACAGTGGGTGTGAATGAAGTGGTGGAGGTTGAGAGCGGTGGAAAGCTCTGGTCATCGAGAATAGTGACAGGTGCGGTGGAGAACACGGAGTTATTCGTGGAGGTACTTGTAAGCGCAGCAATAGTAACCGCTAGGAGGGAGACTGGAGTGCCTAGTGGGGGCTGTGAGGTAGAAGGAGCGGCCACGGGAGCAGTAGATTTGCCCTTCTTGGTATCTTTTGCTTGTGTGGTTGGAAAAACGCCAGCAGCAGCCACCGAGGCAAAGTTGCCTTTCTGTATGGGCGCTCTTGTCCCAACCCAGGAATTGGACGTGGCGCCAATCTTGGCGACATTACTATTGTTGGAGGTTGAAGCCTTCAGGGTGAGTGGAGTGGCCAGCTTCGCCATGAGAGGTTGTGGAGTGGGTAGACTTTGAAGAGAAGGGATCTTCGAAGCAGTTCCATTGCCTGCTGTCCTCCGGGAAGTTGTGCTTCCGGTGCGTGTGGAAACGGACGAGGAAGTTGAAAACGGCGCAGGAAAGCCCAGACTTTGACTCAACTTCGAGGACTTGGACTTCGCGATGACCTCGTTGCCGGCCAGAGCACCACTCAGCAGATCCTGGATGATTTGATAGGTCCGCTGGACGGTGTCGGCAGGACCCCGCAAGTACACCATCCTCTCGGTTACCTCGTCACCTCGCGCGCTCTCAATATCGATCTGGATGCCGGACATGTTACGTAGGGCGCTAACAACAGCACCACCTTGTCCAATGATCTTTCCGATGTCGTGTTTTGAAACGGAGAGGGCGACTTTTCGTTTAGCTGAGCTCCCCGAACCGGAGGGCCCAGTTGTCTTCCAGTCGGTGGTCGCGGAAGACGATGGAGCGTCCGATTGGTTGGCCGCTGCGGATCGATGGCTCCGGTTGCTACTGGCGGGCTGAACGACGAGCCATTCGCTGTTGTTGCCGACAGAGCCAGCGTCAGGAGAGTGCTCGAACGGTGTGGGATCCCAGTAGGCGGCTTCGCAGTCGAAAGACGCCGGTGGATCGCAACTCGCGACGCTAGCAGGTGGAGAGGCCATTGCCGCGGTCTCGCGAGACGGCGACGCGGCTCCCGCTGCCGGTGCCGCGTTGGCAACTTCAGTGCGTTTGGAGGTTCGCTGGGCCTGCTTCTTCGTCCGGTGTTTCTCCCGCTTCGACTCGGTAACCTGCGCCGACTGCAGACTCTTAGCCAATTCAGCCTCCCTTTCGGAGTCCGGTTTGGTCTGGGGCTCAACTTGCGCCAGTGATTGGTGTTTGCCCTTTTTCTTCACCGGTGCGGCGGCTGGTTGGTCTGATGAGGTTGATGAGGGATCGGGCGACTCGTTGGACGCCAGTTTCCTACAAACCAAACAAAATGCGGCTATGAGATAATGCGGACAATGCGCCATACGCGACAACCACTTATGCATACGAACACGCACGCACGCACGCACGCGCGCGAACACACGTCAAGAAAAACATCAGTGTGTAAACCATACACAATGGGATGAGTCAGGTAAGCTAGCAGACTTGCCAATGAGGCTTGGACAAAAACAAAAACACGTTGTCAGACGAGCGCACGGCCAACCATTAGCAGGGCGCACGTTCGATTGGACAATTTTACACGATGACGTAGAAGCTGGATCAAAACACCGACGATGCGTTAAAATAACCCAGATTTTGGACATCACTGCCTAAGCGTCTACGCCTAACCGGTGCCTTAAATTTGACCATTCCTGTAACAAAAAGACACAAATTTACCAAATCGAAACTTACGCGGCAGAATGAGCATCCGCGGTTTTCGAGATGGCCTTCTTCGACACGACCGATTCATCAGCACTGCCATCAACGCCACCGGACGTTACCGTCGTCGTCGTCTTCACTTTCGCGGCCTCGGCGGCAGCAGCGGCGAGGGCCGCGCTCTCCTGTTTTGCCTTGCGCTTGTTCCTCTTCCGCTCGCGTTTGCGCGCCTGCATGGCCTCCTTGTTCGCGCGCTCCTCCTCCTCCTGTTCGATCTGCTCAAGCAGCACGTCGGCGTTCTTGCGCGCCTCGCCCTCCTGTTTCTCCTTGGCTGCGGAGATGATCTTCCGGCACTGCTGGCACCGCTCGGCTAGCTCCTGGCAACGCAAACAACTCGGTGTGAGCGGTTACACGCTAGGCCCACAACCCCCCAGATCAAGCACCGTGACACTTGGTCGAGCCAGCGATGTGCAAACAGAGCGTTCTAATCGCGCGGCAAGGGTTTGTCTCAGGGATTGAATGCACAATAACAGGCACCGCGTATTTACTCAAAACTAGACCATAGTAACCGTTGCCATGGCCGAGTGTGTAAGACGAGACGTTCTTGCGAGCTAACACAGCAACTTATTCTGTGCATAAAAACACCTCACTTCAGACGAAACAAACTACGAAAAAAAGGCGAAGAAGTGCATATTCGACGATACCCTGCAACTGAGTGAACACAATGGCACCATTTGAGATTTTAAAGTTGGACAACATTGTACTCGTAAAAGAAAAAGTTGCAGCTATGCCTGACAAATGAGTATCCTTTCAAGAATTACTCAAAGGCTAATCAGCGAAGTTAATAAAGCTGTCAAAAATGACGTTGAAACAAACAATGGGGCCATTCAACTTGAACACACACACACACACCCCACGCGCACGAAGCGGTGCACAAAGTGTGGATGCGACGGAGATAAAAATTTTATGTCGGCAAATTTACGAGGCGTTTTATGTGTGCTTACGAGGTCACACGACGCAATGACGTGACCTCGTTTGTGAGAACGGAGGACGTTCACACACGCGCGCGCGCGAGCGCGCTGAGCGAAGCGAGCCGCCGCTAGCGAGGTCAATCCGACTGAAACGGACTTGGCTTAGAGCAGCACGTGAACACCACCGCTGGGGTTAATAATGAAGCACGTGGTGAGCAACGAAAAAGTGCGTTTGAGGGAAACAGTAAGACCACAAATGGACTGGGGAAATGGGCGTTTCCGCACACACACACACGCGAGACATCGGCCCAAATGTGTTGCGCGTGTACACTAAATTGCGTCAATCAAACAGCATTAGACGCGGTGGCGTGAGCAACAGCGCTTATGCAAAACAGGCATAACAACAGTCCGACTTCATTGTCACCAAGACCAAAACTGCGGCGAAGTTACCGTCATGGCTTCAAACCACTTCCGAACGGCGCTATGTGCGTGTTATTAAAGGGGCAATTGTTCCGGTACACGCACTAAAGTACACCCTCTAATGACACCTACGATCGGGCTTAATGGGGCACCACGAACAACTAAACAAGCCGTTTGCAGAACTGCCGCAGAGCAAAAAGTAGGTTGATGACAATCCCGCGAACGATGCGTGGAAACCGCGTTTGGACAGGGTCGAGGTTTGTTTACCTTGGGCTGTAAAACATGGCGATGACGGCAAGAAGGCGTGCAGGGCTTTATGTGGAACCACATGCTCCACTGGTGTTTTATGACGCAGTAAAAAAAGGGGGACACGCTGACGAGCCGTTCCGGAGTCGAGCGGCTACGAGATAACCGTTTACGCACAAAGATAACTATCAAAGAGGCTCGTGTTCTTACGAAAATACCCTGAAATGCCTTGTCTCCGGGACTTACGTCAAAATCGACATTCCTGAGGGGGACACTTAGTAAGGGGGGTGAAATAGACGATGGGATCGGATCAATACCGAGAAGCATCCCTAGGTTCTGACTCGGGTCGATGCCATCCACACACACATCCTCGGGATTAGGGAGAATAGGTGGGAGAGCATCCAGCTTGGATTGGACCAAATTTGGTGGTGGATAAAGGTAATCCGATGGTGGTTTTTTCGCTGTGGCTGCGGACAGTCGATGGGTCAGCATGGTGACTTCATGCGGTGTGGAGAAAAGACGAGTCCTAGTGCGAGACCCTTCGACGGATGATCGGAGGGTGAGGGTGTCGGGACTGGTACCGTTGGTTCGCGGAAAACTGCGGAATAGTAGGTAGGGAAGAAAGGCCACTGCACTTCGACGAAAGCACCAATCGAGGCGGAAGAAGTTGATCATCGAAGTTGCAAACAGAACAGTGCCACAGCGCAGGAGCCGTTCACCCTGTGTTCGCTGCCTCGCGAGTAGTCAGCACACACTAACCCAAGACTGCCTGCCTTGCGCAAGTACGTGCACGCACGCACCCACTACCGCACGCGCGCGCAAGCGAGGCTACGACCAGCCAATGAGAGGCGTCGACGAAGGCTTCGCGAAGCCTCATTGGTGAGAACGCGGTGGTGACTAATGCGACACCAGTGAGGCCAACTGGGAACTTGCACGCCCACTCAGCTAAACCGAGCGACTACGCTATCACGCCAACGCGAGGGACTAACACCACGGTGGGGTTGGGGTGTGGGGGGAGGGCAATTCATAATCCAATGATCAGGCGACGCGAGCGTGATCAGTGGAACTTTGTCCTTGAGTGCGGGAGTGCTCCACCAAAACTCGGTTTATTAAAAATCGACATTTAGTTGATCTTATCAACAGGGGTGGTTGAGGGCACCGTGATACGCTTAAGGGTACGAAAATTGTACGAGCGCGAAAAAATGCAAGGGAGTGAGTGACGAGACACCATTTAGAAAGCCATAAAAGCCAAAAATATCCCATATCCCGAAAAAAACAAAACGGAAAAGCTGCTTTATTGGTCAAGGGAACGCGACCAATCACCTTGTCTGTCGCGATGACCTTGATGTGGCGCAGACAATCCTTGTCAGAGGGGAATTGGGTGACGTGTTGCACCAGCAAGCTGACCACCTTGACGTGACCCTTGCGGAACGCCGCCATGAGGCAGCTGACCTTTCGATTGTCCTGGCTGTTTACGTCGGCGTGTGCCGAGATCAGACTCTCGACAACATCCAGGTGGCCACCTGAAATGCGGAAATACACCCGATTAGCGTGCCTCCGTGTCCACGTGGTGTGACGCAGCGACCGAGTTGCTAAAAGTGCTTACCGTTGCAAGCCAGCCACAATGAGGTTGCGCCCTTCTTGTTGCGAGCTTCAACAACGGCACCGCTAAAAATCGAACCACGAAATAGTAGCTACTTATAATTTGTAAGTACAAAGATCGTTTAAAAATAACAGCACTGGAACGCACTGGTTAAGCAAGAGATTGACAAACTCCGTCTTCCCCTTGTCCGCGGCGATTGTCAACGCAGTGTCCCTCGAACTGAGCACAGGCAGGGCGTTCACGTCAGCGCCGTGCTCCAGCAGGATGTAGCCGACCTTGACGTGGTTGCCCGACGCGGCCTCCATGAGCGGAGTGAGGCCGGTCTTGGCGCGGTGCTCGATGTTGGCCTTGCGCTCGACCAGCAACTTCACGACCTCGTGTTGCCCCTGGAAACAGGCTAGCGTCAGGGCGGTGTTGCGATTGGTCTCGATCTGCGCGTTGATGTCAGAGCCGTGCTCCAGCAGGACGCGCACCGCGTCGGTGTAGCCGTTCATGGAGGCGAGCATGAGCGGCGAGATGCCCAGCTTCGAGCCGGTGCGCGAGTTGATCTCGGCGCCGTGGCGCAGCAGCAGTTGGATGACGTCCACGAAGCCGCCCGACGCAGCCAGACTCAGCGGCGTGTAGTCGGAGAAGTTGCGGTGCTCCTTGTTCGCCCCGCGGTTCAAAAGGTCTTCGGTAATCTGGTGGGAAAGACAGAAAAAAAGCCACGTTGCAACTCGACGACGCTCGCGGAAACATGCTCTCGCCTGGTGTGACTACGAACTCACCTCCAGGCGTCCGTGTGAACAGGCGATTGACAGAGCAGTGTCCTTGGTGCGCTCCACTTGAGCCTCAATGTCGGCGCCGTAGTCGAGCAGCAGGGAGACGATTTGGCGCTGGTTGGCGTACACGGCAGTGTGCAGGGGGGTGTGCGACTTCTTGTCCCGGTGCTCCTTGTCCGCGCCCCGGTCCAGCAGGAGACGCGCCAGATCGACAAAACCACCGCTGCAGGCCAGCGTCAGCGCGGACTCCATGGAGGACTCGATGCACGCGTTGATGTCCATCTGTTGGTTGATTGCTCCAGCGCTCGACTGGACGGTCGGTGGAGGCGGCGGCGGGGGCTGGGGTGTTGCCGCAACCGCCGCTGCCGCACAACTCATCAGCTGATCGTACAGCGCTGGACCCACAGTCGGCGTCAGGCCCTGTTGTGATGGCGGTGGAGGTGGCGGTGCTGTTGCTCCAGACGATCGCTGGCAGGGCGGCACAACGCTTGGCGACGACAGCGTGATGGCTTGTGCCAACGAATGTGCTACCTCCAGGGGACAGGTGGCTACCTAAAGCAGAAAGCAATGTCTACGTGAACAATTGTGGACGTCCACCCCAGTGGCACCCAGATATATCGATCGCTAGTTTTGTAATAGTTCAACCATCCTACACCTATTTCACGGCCTGACTTGACGTTATCGATCTGTCGGGTGTCACCAGTCTAGTCAGTAAAGGCAAGTAGAGACTACCAGACGCACATCTTCACAGGCTCCTTTGGCGACAGGCCGGACCTGCTGATAGTAGGCCGCATTCGGTGGACCAACGATGGACGGTGTGTCAATGAGCTGCGTGGAGGAGCTGAGAACGCTGCTGCTACCGCTGCTGCTGCTGCTGGTGGTGCTTGAACTGCTGCTAGCCGAGCTCCTTGTCGACCCGGCACCACCGCCACCCCCGCTGCCAGACAGTGACGACGAGGACGCAAAAGACGGCGACGCCGTAGTCGTGGGAGACGACGTATTCGTCGGCGGCGGTGGTGGAGGCGGAGCGAAGAGATCGCGCACAGCCGCCTGGCACACCTCCATCAGGTCGCCGGTGCCGCACGCCGTGGCAGAACCACCACCGCCGGCCGCGGCTGCGCACTTCATGAGGCGCTGGAGATTGGTGAAGGCAGCGGCTGCAACGGAGGCGTCCTGGCTGTCGGAGGGCTGACGGCCGGCCGCGCGGACGGCGTTGATTGGACAAGTCATGACTGTGCCGAGGCGATGCAGAAACTCTGTGCTGTCACCCTTCCAGTCGTGGAAGAGAGCCTGCAAGGGGTTGGGAAAGCGTTCAACATTTTCCCCTTCTTACCAAATCAGTTCCATGCCCAAAGTAATCTGGTGCTAAGGCCACGGGTTCGTGGTACCATTTATTTGCAGCACAATGTGTGTGTGTGTGTGCGTGTTTTGCAAAAACACGTGATTCGGGCGATGATTCTGTTCGTGTTTGTGCGTTCACACACACGCAGAAACCATTTGAATCGCGCTAAATACACACACACACATACATAGTGTTAACGCCCTCACGAAAACCAATGCCATGGAGACACTAAACTGCCCAATGCGATTAGGGGAACAATGAGTGCCCAATCGATACAGGAGTCTCAAATCTACAAATAGCTCAGCAGCACCGTGGTAGGGGCGTGGCGTGTCTGCCCAGCCGACGGTTACAAGCTAATTCATCCAAACTTACCATTAGCCTAGAGCTGAGTTCATCGGTGCATGCGGCGTGCGACAGATCACCGATGCTGTCGATGGTGGTTTCCTCGCCAACAGCCAGAGCCTCCATCGTGGAGGTCGTTGCTGCGGTCGCCGTCGACGCCAACTGTTGCGGTCGAGCACTTGGCTTCTCGGATGAGGAGGAGGTGGTGGTGGCTTTCGAGGGCTTAACCTGGCCCTTCTCCTTCGTCTTCTCCGAGGCACCGGCTTGTGGTTCACCTGGAGGGTTCAAATCAACAACCTCGGTGAGGTCGAGAGTGGGTCGCACCAATTTCGTCATTCAACGAACAGTGACTTACCGGCAAGAGATTGGGACGCCAGGGGAGACTGCTGTGCGCGCGATGCGGCTCCATCGGCCCAGCCGGCCGCGTAGGCGTTGGCCAGAGCCTCCTTCAGCTGCGGGTGGTGTGGCGGGTGGGCGCTGAGGGCCTGGCGCACGGCTAGACCCGCGCGTTGCTGTTGTTGGTGGATGGCCACGGCGGCGGCCGCAGCGGCGTGCTGGTGCATCACCGCAGAAGCAGCCTCTCCGAGTTGGGGCGACACCACGGCGATGCCGGGACTGCCGTTCTGCAATTGGGGGTGCTGTGTCGGTTGCTGTGGCAACGGCGGAGGTGGAGGAGGAGGATGAACCGTCGGCATGGGCATGGAGAGGCTCTTGGGGTAGTCGAGGATCATGCGGAGAACAGCGGGTGAACCGGACCGCGCTGCTTCAATCAGCATGGTGCAACCGTCGCGAAGTTCGTAGTGCGGATTAGCGCCATTCTTCAACAGATACTCAACCACCTAGGGAAGATAATAAAACAATAAGTCCCCTATTTATCGGAGGTTCCTTGGGTTGGTGGACACCCTGCCCTACCTGAACGTGTCCACCGTTGCACGCCAAGGAGAGCGCGGTGGCCTCGTTTTGACTGGTCGGCTGGTTGACAGAGAAGCCCCATTCAACGAGCAGCTGCACCACCTCGAGGTGTCCGGAACGAGCGGCCTTCATGAGGGGTGTCTTGCAGCCCTCGATGACCAGAGGCTGGCCCAAGGTGGCACCCCAGTTGAGCAGCTCTTTGCAGACCTTCACGTGACCGTTCTCTGCGGCGTAGTGCAGCGCCGTGTCACCCGAGGTTGTGATGGAATTGACATTAGCCCCCTGGTGGAGCAGACGGCGAACTAGCTCCAAGTGGCCCTCCTGCGCGGCTTCCATGAGCGGGGTAGAGCATCCAGTGTTGCCGACTTCTATGTCTGCGCCAGCCTTCAGGAGCATCTCGCAGACCTCGATGAAACCACCGCAGGCGGCGAGAGTCAAGGCCGTCTCCTGAGTTTCCTCTGTCTTGGCATTCACGTCAGCACCTGAAATTATAATAATGCAAGCGTTAATGAACATTGCAGCCTGGATCGAGTCATCGTGGTAATAGCGTTTGGACACTGACCAGCAGCCAGAAGCACAGCGACAGTATCCTCGTGGCCCTCCCTGGCAGCCTCCATGAGCGGAGTGTAGCCCTCGTCGTTGACCTCTTCGATGTCAGCCTCGTAACCGATGAGGAGGTGCACAAGCTCAGTGTGGCCGCCACAGGCAGCCAGAGTGAGCGGAGACTCAAAGCTGTCCTGGGGGATGTTGACGTTGGCGCCGTGGGCGAGAAGGAGTTTCGCCACCTCCACATGACCCTCCATGGCGGCCTCCATGAGCGCCGTGTGCATCTCATCCGTGCGGTGCTCGTGGGAGGCTCCAGCGTCTAGCAGAAACTTCACCATTTCCGCGTGACCCTGCAAGAAAGAGTCATCGACTTCAAGCCAACAGTTTCCGAGTCGATCACTGGTGGTCATTCTCACAAGCTAATATCGTCGACCGCGTGCTTGTCTGAACCAACAACGCTTTTTGCCGTGGATGCGATGTTGTGATGCGCCCTAGCGTAATAATCAGTTACTCTAGTATCGAGAACTAAAATGAGACTCATTTGAACTAAGGCCACGTGAGTAGTCCAACCTGATTGGCTCACGCCAAGGTCTTGACAATTTGATTGGTAAGGGTCATAGCAATCGTTCTGTGTGATGTTAATAACGCGTAATCATTTAGCAGAACCCTTGTCACGTGCACACATACCATGCATTGATAGGAGACTGATGGCCGGATGTTAGATTGTGAAGGTACGTCAACATACCTTAAATAAGATGTGTACGAAGTCCCAGGGGTTCAAAGTGACACCACAAACAGAAGACCCAGGTTCACGACTCTCACATGGACTCGCAACCAGCCTACCACTAACTCCACGGCACGCACACAGCACACGTGTCAATCACACATCACGTCAACACTCACAACCACACGACAGTCGCTGTAATCAAAAAAACAACACGGACTGAAGCCTCGTGAAGGCCAATGAACATGGTGATCAATCTTAGTCCGAGGGTGTAAACTCATCAGAGTACCACAACTCAGAAGTTGGATGGTATTTCACCTCCTAGAAACCTCGCGCAAGACGACTGGGGTTGGTGTGGCCACAAATCGGTCAAAATTTCGCTACCGTAGCGACTGACGACTTTTACCAATTTGATTATACCTGCTTCGTACAAGGCCAAAAAAACTATAACAAGTTATATCAATGATATTGCCTACTATAAGTTTGGTTGATGAGGCACAGGCATTTGTTTCTGCAAATGTAAACACAAGCGCATTGGTAGCAGCTGCATGCATCCAAAACACGCTAACGCAATGCCATAAAAGCACTAGGACTGGAAATTAAATTATCCGAACTTTAGGACTTGATTCCGAATTTTAGTAATAACACGTGTTCGACGACAACAACCATGCGTCAGTACGACTACAAAAAACGAACCAAACTATTTCGCTAACAGTGAATCTTGTCGATTTCGGTACTTCAGATATTGGAGGTCAATTAGTAATCCAAATCAACCAGTGATGTGTGACCTACTTAACCTCAGACGTCTACATTGTTTTAAAAATGATGTTCAACTAGAGGAGCATGCACATTAGTCCTAGCATTGACTTGTGAAGCCGTTAATTACATACGCATTCAAGGAATGTGCATGCCCTGCATTACACCAAGAATGTACATTATGCGCAAAAACCAATTTAACATCATCCGATTGTGCAACCTGGAAAATACCTAGAATGGACAGGCATGGAAGCAACAGGTGCGACGATTCGCTCACTACTTTTAAATTGCAACACGAAAGAGTGATTTAACAGAACGTACCTTGTAACTGGCTAGAGTTAGCGCTGATTCCTTAAACTCCGTGGAGTGAGTATTTATGTTCGCGCCGTGTTCAATAAGGCACCGGGCGACCTCGATGTGGCCGTTACTCGTAGCCTCCATCAGAGGCGTGTGGCCGTTTTCATTCTGCTCTTCTAATGGGCTACCATGTTCTAGCAGAAGCTTAACACACTCGAGATGACCGTTTGCGGCTGCGTAATGAAGCGCTGTGTAGCCGGTGTTGGTGGTTTGAGAAACAGAGGCACCATATTGGAGAAGCAGTTTTACAACACAATCAAAGCCCTCCTTAGCTGCTTCGATAAGTGGAGTAGACTCGATCTTCTTCTCCTTCATATTAGGGTCAGCCTAAAGAAAGATCAAGTAGGAGGGAAAAACTTACACCGCGCTGCAACAGAAGCTCTACGATGGGAACAGAGTTTTTGGCGACAGCACGAGCTAAGGTTGTCTCTCCATCAACTCCAATGTCATTGATGTCGCATTCAGCAGAGGTTAGAAATGACTTAACCGTTTCTTCATCGTTCTTTAAACAAGCTTGGATTAGGGAAAAAGTTCGACTAAACAGAAGATTATACTTTAATGACAAATTTGTTACCCATTATCATCGTTCATTGCTGGAATTATTAACTCTTTACTGATTTCATTCCAAACGGCAGCGTCAGTAATGCGACGCCCGTCCTTTAAAAGCATGTTCTTGATAGGCGCATTTTGAAGAAATCTGCACAAGTTCAGGCGTGTTTCAGGGCACAATTCTGTAAGATTTTCATCAAACTAAGAAGTAAATAAAGCGAATGAATAAATAAATTAAATATTAAAGGGTCGATAAGCTAAAGGTTATCCAAAATTTAAAAAAATAATCAACAAAATATATCTTGGTTGATAGCGACACGTCTAATAGCAGCAGATCGCAGCAAAATGGATATACAACACCCACGACGATATTGCATGTAGTCATACACATAACTGGAATCACGTGTTACGAGAATAGGCAAATTTCAAGCGATAAGTTTACATTGTACAGGACAAAGTCGGATGCAAAGCTTTCTTATTCGCGAAATTAAGAAGGAAGCAAATCAGCCGACGACAATGACTTTGAACCACATGGAAGGACAATTTCGATAACAATAACGGAAGTATAAAAGCTACACGTTTCACGGATAACGATAAAAAATTGCGCAACCCAACCTTTTACTAACAGAAAACGTATGCATGTTGCCGCATTGCAAATCCTCGAAACTATGGTAAGATCATTATGATATCACAATAGGTCACCGGCTGCACCATTAAGTCCGTGCAGAGCACATACAAAACCCAAGCTATCTGAGGACGACAGAATTGCTCGAACTTCTCAGACCACGCATTCTCAGCAGTAGACCGTGACAAATTTTATACGACATCCAAACGATTTCAAACTCGTGCATAAATAATTGCCTAGAACTTACCTGGAAGTTCGGCATTATTGAGAATTTAACACATGCGAACGCGCGTGCCAAGAACCACAAAACCTCTACGCCTCAATTTGAGAATGCCGCTTTTTTCTTTAACTGAGGTAATAATGAAACACCATTTTGCAAGACAAATAAATAAGCGTTTTTAATGATACTAATGTTAGTTTAACTTCGTTCATATAATTTTTAAAAAATATTCAAACTTATAATGACGGTGACAAAGAATGATGTCTGGGTGCCATATGAACTGCTCTAAAATTTTCCGCTGAAATAAACGTACACAAAAATAGTAAACATTTGCCAATGTTACTTTTTAGTCTGGTTTATAGAGCAAAATCATTGTACAGTTAGATTAAATCATATTTGGACCAGTCTAGCTTAATCTAAAATATAACTAGAGCATTGATTTACTAACCTCTTAGAATATGTGCGTTTTAGTCTAGGGACACCCATTTTATGTCAATCAGTCAGCTAAAATACTATCTCCTGGGATAAATTGTATATGTAGTAAATCAGCTGCTCTTATAGCTTCTGGTTGAAAAATTTGTTTCTTAGCTTCGTGATAGTTCATGACGTAGTTTGTGAAGTATAGGTATGGTTATTTCAAAGTGCTTAAGTCTCGGGGATTTTGCAATACTATTCTTCTATAAATAATAACTTTTGATTGATGAAATGCTACATAACAGCCGCCGATAGTAACACTGAAATTTTTCATGTTGGTTTGCTATTAATTAATACAAGGCAATATTCTTCCAATAATTTTGGTGACGTACCAGAATTTCCCTCCTTTCCGTTTTCGAATTAATACTTTGTTTAATTTTGTTTGAAATAAACTAATCTAATAAAATCCTGTCTATAATTCTTAATCCAACTCAATTTTTACGACAGCTTTCATACATTTTGACTAGAAAATAAATCAGTTTGCTTGTTGTGACACAGAAAGTTTTGATTATTTATTACTTTGCTTGTGGGCCTTTTTGGAGCCTTGTGTGGCAACCAAATTGCCGTTGTTTGAATCTGCATTTAATTTAATTGCATCATATTACTAGGTTTTTTCAACTAAATGTATTTTTTTTGCTGATTATCTATGGATACTTTTTCCGAAGGCCTAATCATGGACAAATATTTAGAGTTCTCTTTTAATATGGTCACAGTCACAAAATAATGGCTCACAAAATTAGACAACACACATAAAACTGATAAATAAGCAGTTTTGTTACTTGGTCTATTTACACTTTTCCTCATTGCTCCCGATTCCTGCCTTCTTAAATTGTGCTGTTATTTACTAACATCTAAAAACAAGAACTTTCTTCTCATTTGTGTGAAGCGAAGAATTCCGAATGAGCAAACTTCGTATTAGTGTAGACATCACTGAATGGAGAGCGAGGGTCGACATAGTCAAATAGATGCCAAATTTCATAAAAATATCAATATTTGCCATTTTCGAGTAAATTAACTTTCGTGACTGATCGATTTCATGAAACCTAATCGATAAGGTGGTACAAAATTTAACTTAAGTGAGCAAGTGTTGGAAATGGGTCTTGGCCATTGTTCGTATTTATTTAATTGAAGTGGGTGATTCGGACATTTCATCGGAATCAAGCACGATTGAATTCATCTTATAACGAATTCCAAAACACCCTGATCCCATTACTTATAATACACCTGATGCCTTTGTAAAATAAAAAAAATGATCCATGTACGCAAAAGCCTTAGTCAATTGATGTGGAAATATATTAGAGGTAAAAAAAACCAGACAATCATGATAAGATATCGCTTTCGCCATCACAACGGGTTTCCACAAAGTGAACACTGGTTGTTGGGTTTGCATGTCCGCTGACGGGGTCATTGGTTGCACGGCCGAATAGGGACTGCTGATGGTCTTCGTAGGGCATTACTTTCAGATGGAAGTCGTAGAATCCGGGCTGCGATGGAGCGTAGCCGTGAACCTGATGGAACGTCGGCACCTCCTCTTCCTCCTCTCCTGCACTCTCGCTGGCCCCCTCCTCCTCCTCCTCCAACTTCCACTTCTGGTCAAAATTGACCGACGGCTGCGTTCCTGGCTCCGTGGCGAACAGAGGCGCGTCCGCCTCGAACTTAAAACTCGAAAAATACGATGTTGAGTTAAATTCGGCCACCGCTGCCGCCTCCTCTCCCTCCACCTCGGATTTATACGGCCACAGGAAACCGCCCGTTTGCGGAGGTTTTGCTTGGCGCCACGCTGCCATCGCGACGGCAGCCGCGGCGTTCAGCTCGGGCCTTGATTGGCTGGAGGAAATATCGGTGAATCGAAAGCCAGGGTGGCGATAAAACGTCATGGGAGTAGTTCCAGTGGACTGGTGGTGTTGTTGATGCTGCTGTGGGCCGAAGGTGGCCTGAGAGTTGGGAGCCGTTTGATGCGGAGGCAAGGCCGGTGGAACTCCGAGGATCAGGGGTGTGAAGTGGTGTCCTAGGCTTCCACGGATCGCCTCCAGGTGTTTCTCACGTTTCCGCCATTTAGCCCGACGATTTTTAAACCAGACCTTTGGAAATGTTAAAATGCCTGATTAAGCTTGGGTCTGGAATGCGATAGTTTGGCAATAAATGCTACTTGCAAGCAATCAGTAACAATCTAAAATAACCACAAACTGGCTTTGCGTAATTTCAAAATGCAGAAGGCCTACACGATTAGCCGCCAACATTTGGAGCAGTACTAAAAAGGTACTCTTGAACATTTGTATACGTGTTCCCAAAATCTTTACTTATTTCTGCTTGACAGCCTCAAGGTCGCTTCGTGGTTGGTTCGAAATGCGTTTAAAATTACTTGAAAAATGCCACTCACTGTAAAGATCAAATGTAACAGCAAACTGATATGCCGAAGTCGTCAGCAATAAAGCACGAATCGGAGGACACGAAAATGCAAATGTGCTCTTCTAAATCGTAGATATTAAGTCAATAAATGTTAAACTGTTAAGGTATACAACACATGAATGTTCATTCCTATTGGTCAGTTCAAGTAGTCAGTGCAACGAAACCAGTATAGTAAAACAAGGACATATTGTAAAGTAACGTGACACTTACACGGACCCTGCCCTCAGTCAGATCGGTCCACGCAGCCAGCTCCTCCCGCATATTCATGTCCGGATATCGATTCCGCATGAAGGTCGTCTCTAGTTCGTGGAGTTGTTGGCTCGTGAAGTGGGTCCGTTGCCGGCGTGAGCGTTTGCCCGCGTTCTCGGCACGTCGCGACCCCGTCGAGGCGGTGTTTTTGGCGTCGTTTGAGCGTACCGCCGGAGCAGACGTCTTGCTGGGTGCAGTCTTCCTCAAGGTCACGGCTGGAGCTGTTTGGACTGGCTGTTCCTGAAGGACACAAGCTCTGGTGGTTGGTGGCTGCGGCGGGTGCGGTGGTGGTATGGGTGCCTGGGGAAAGTCTTGCACTGATTGCAGCAGATGTGACTCGAAACCCGCCAAAGAATCCAGTTGGTCAGAATTAAATCGATCATCTTTGACTATAACGAATCAAAACTTATAATCATAATCATCATCATCGTCATGATTGTTGGGGATCCAGGATATCCCAAGATTGCTCGTCGTTGGTTTCTGGCACTATTTACACTAATTCACTAGCACGTGTTTTATTGCGCTTTTTATCAAGTCAAGGTCAACCCTGACTTGAATTAGTTTCACTTTTGACAACTCACTCCGCACGTGGCCCACGTGATTAAAGCTCTCGTTACGATGATCAACTCGAAAACGCAGTGCTTCCAAGAAATTTCGGTGTGGGTCATAACATCACACCTTTCTTCAAGACGAATCACTGAATTTGATTTAGAAGCGCCATAAATGTGACTGCTTAAAGCCGAAAACGTGTAATTATAAGGAAAAAAATGTGGATTATCATTACAAGGAAACCTCGCTGATTGGTGCTCGATTTGGTTTTGTGTTAAATTTTCGACCCCTCGTGAACCCACAAATGTGGCTTCGTAACTGGACATTTAAAGATAGCATTGTACTTAATCGTGAGGTCAATAATTCAAAAAAAAATTAGATTAAAAACGAAATCAAAGCAGCGTTATATTTTGGTGCACACGAGTTAGGATTGCTCGCCGGTGACATTTCCCACATCGAAATATGCTCAAACGCAAGTGTTGATAAGAGAATCTCAGAAGTTTCACATCAAACCAAATTTTCCCATAATGACAATTCCCCTGACTTACGCACTTTTGCACAAGACTTTCATTGGCACCTGTGTCCGCTTCCTTGTGGTTGGTCAATTGTAGTTATTTCGTTTCCAAGTATAATACTTAGTAGGGTCCGAAAACTTGCCACCATGTCACCATTTTCAACGGAAATGGTCAACAGAAATTCCGAAACCTCTAATCAAGCAAAACTCACATTCGTAGAGTTATTCATAGTCCCATCCACCACTAGACCTCCAATCAACCTATCAAATCACAATTTAGCGAGTGCGGGCTCTGATCCACCAATGAAACAATGACACACAGAGACCAAAGTAAAGTGCGTGCCACGACCGAGCACTCACTGATTGGTTGGAGCCGGTGGGTAAAAAACTCCCGCTGACTCACCCACAACCGCTTTTTCGATTTTCGGTAGACTTGCTTTCGTGACTGGAAACGACGCGATAACCGGTAGCGTAGTGTGGGGGAAGTGTCGATAGCTCACAGCTGGTGAAGAGGTTGAGTTGGCTACAAAGTTTGCAGGCTCGAAGGCGCACGCAGGGTCACAGCAGTAGGCCCCCTGGGGGTGTGGATTGCCCGCGGGATTTGTCTGCATTGAAGGCTAAAACATGAGCAGAGCAATCCCTTAATTCCCGCCTGATCCTCCCGTCGTCTTGGTGATTTGAGTAGCTAGAACTTACCACCGAGATTAGCCTAGCAGGAGAAGGGATTATTTCAGGGATTTGCAACGTGCGTGGACTGTCACGAAGGCACTAATGCTTCCACGAAGGAAGTTTGGACACCTCTGCACACGCGTGCATTTGATTGGTTGTCCGCTCTCGTACGCGTGTGAATTTGTCACGCTATTGGCTAACGCATGGAGGGGAGACACGCGCAGTCCTCGCGTCTACCAATCGCCGCGGTGATTATGCCTCCGAGATGGCGGTAAATCCCGGGTTTAATACCCACAGAGGCTTTCCGAAGTCTGTCCTGTCTCTATAACCCTCCTGATCCCACAGAAATCCCGGGATTTACCAAATTTATGACCTTGATTGTTAAGATCGCGTATGCTTTTTCTAACTCCACCGACAGCCTTCTGAATGCCCCTTAACCTATGTCATCTTCTTGGAACTCAGTCTGTTCCTTCAGCAACATGTATTCAAGAATTCGCTGTTCAACCTACCAAGGTCGCGACCTTGAAACGGTCCACAAATTTGAATCTGCATTCATACGAGGATGGCATATAATACATCTTTTGCATTTTTATGTAAATTCGGTAGTCATATTAGCTAATTTACACCAAATTCTATTGCGTTGTTGTCATTATATCCATGTTTTGTTCTTTCTAAAAATAATTTCGGAAACTTGTGGTGGTGAAATAACGCACAAAGGTGTTAATGCTGCAAAATCCATTCCGTGTGATAATGTTGATGATGTGCTAGATGGAAGAATATGCAAGAGGTGGTTATCCGGGCTACAACGTTGAAAATCTCCACTAAAAGTGGCCTTCAAAACAATTTTTGACATCATTCGGGAACATTCAGCCGAATTTGACAATTTTCCTAACAATTACACCTTAATTCGATTGAAATTTAAAGAAAAAAATGGGGGTGTTTTTAGTGGTTTGCTTGCGCAGCTGATTATTGGTGCAACAGTACCACGGCTATTTGCACGGTAACACCATGCACGAATTTTGGTCCAAGTAACCAAGACCATTTTTTCTGTTAATACGAATTCCAAATTAACGGAGGATTTGGCCACTCAAGATGTGGTAAAACGCGCGAGAGAGCGAAAATTTGTGTGTGACTCTGTGCAGTTTGTCTGTTGGTGTCTCAAAAACCTGTGTTGAGTTAATTTACATTTAAATGGCCTACTTATCGGGCCGGTAATCCCTTTATTAACAGTTTTCTGAGATGGGAGAAGAGGGTGGGGGTGGTGGTGGTGGTGAGTAGGGGTGTCGGCGATTCCTCCCTGTATCTCCCCTACACAACCACCAGCATCGCCATTGGAGCTTTGAAACATGGAGCCTCAGTGAGGTGATTTATGCAGCCCTGAGTAAGACTGGCATGCAAAAATGAACTTGCGAAATTAATCAAATCGGTTGAAAATGAAAAACAAATAGAGTGTCACCTATGAGAGACAATGTGGTGTTCTAATCGAAAATGGCGGGGCGTCAAAGTGGCTCCACACCAATGAAGCCGGCTTCAGTTTTTGGACTTCGCGCCTTCATTAAAGAAAGAAGGCAAGCATGATTAACTTTTATGACCTCAGAAGCTGTGGAAAACACCGAAGTAGGAGCGGAAGAAGAAGAAGAATTAGTCAGGCGAAAGTTCACCCCTAGGGGACGATTAACCGATATTAGGCGTTGACCGGCGGTTGAGGCAACTAATGGGCCAATAACCACCTGACAGTAACTGTGTGCAAGTCAAATGTCCTTCACAAATCTGACCAATCAGACTGTCGCCAGGACCTTCCATCGCATTTTTGTGGTGATCTCGACGGTTACACCAGCGTCGCCACCCAGGACTACCCACTGCAGGTTCCATTATTCCCGCGTATCGATTTTTTGACGCTGCAGTCTCTTCTAAGTCACCAAACTAGCAAACCCATTAACGGCGACAGCTGTTCACCTCACTGGTTGACACTGCGGTAAAGGGTCATTTGAGGCAGCAAATGGTCAATTTCACGAATAACTGCTTTCATTAACCTACTCCCTCTAGTTACCATGCCGGCATCCGTGTCTGATTTAAACTCGGCGCGAATAATTGATCCGCTGCTATTAAAACAAAGCATTTTAGCACTAGTTACCCTCGAAATGCCGCTGCATTTGTGTTGATTACGGCTGTAAGATGAGTTGTCGAGACGGCGAAACCACTAGCAACTCCACTTCCAACCCAATCATCCGCCAAATTAACATGATAAGCGCAGTCTCCAATAGCTGCGCAAAATAGTGGCGGTGGTGGCATGGCTTGCATTCTGGGGATTATTGCAGGATTAGCAATGCTGACACTTGATTGGACAAATCGCCGCCATCTCCCACCCGCACCCCTGTTCCTCACTGGCTACCCCTCTGACCCAAATTCCCGCCAGTGACAACTACTCAAATTGGTTGTAAAAACCAGCACTGTTATTCGGCAAATATCAACTCGAATTGTTGGAAGAACGCTTTGGAGTGAAAGTAGTGACGATTTTGTTTTAATTTTGGTTCAGAAATGTGGCGCGAAACAGTTGTGCGTGAAAACGCATTTGGGCGTTAACCTCGAAATTTCATGTTGATGGTCCGATATACTATAAAATCAGATAAAATTGTGTTGATTTGACAAAAATTGGCATTTTTTAACACAAAACTGGCCTTTTTTGATCACGTCCTGTTTCGGCGTCGACATGCTGGCTCGCCCCGGATCTACCCACGACACCTTTTACGTTTTTAGATTCTCGTAGAAACTATACTTCTCATCACCCTGCTAACTTTTACACAAGGAGACCTTTTTGTTACTGGCTGGCAGGCAGGGAAAGTCATCCGGTCAACACATGTGGGGGACCCGATTTCCAAGTTTTTGACATCTTGCCATCTGATGCAACCGCTTGGAACTGGGTCATTGAGTGACTTCCAACTGAACTGCTGCAATCTCTTGCTGCGTTCGCGCTGGGTCTTCATCCAGCAGCGCTTGCGATTCCGCATCTTCAAACTTTCCATCGCTAAGGTCGAAATCACCACTTCTAAAACGTTTATATCAATAATTACACGCTTCGCATGACATAAATTTGGTGCTAACGGCACCAATAATTGATTCTCGTGCATTAAAAGCACTTGTCAATGTTGGAATCCGTTGACATCTTTGACAGTTGACATCTTAAACTCAGCTATTCTGGGAGGTCACGTGACTCACGTAGACTTGTCGTTCAGTGTTCTGAAAGACCTTGTGCCAGATCTCTTCAAAACCAGGAACGACTGCGAAGACATTTCGATTTATAACTTGCAAATTTGACCAGAATCTGCATTCACGCGAAGAAATATATTGCTGGGTTATAAAGAAAACGCGAGAATGCAGTGTTTTGTATCACAAAGGAGTCAAGTTTCGCGGTGATAATATTACCTCGTCGGCTATTGGCTGCTGCCAACACCATCTATCAACTGATGTGCGCGTTGGCTTTTAATTCCGAATAATTTTAATTATGATAATGTCGCCTATTGTCAGGTCACGCGTGGTGGCACGCCAAGGGGGGCTGGCCGTTACTCCCCCCCCCCACTGGCCTGGGTTATTGGAGCCACGTGCCTCAATTAACACCGTGAATACTGATTAAAAATTGGGGATGGGGGGCGGACGGAGCGAGAGAGAGAGGGAGGCAAGGGGGATGCGTGGTGTTAGGAGCGTGTCTATTTGATGCATTGCTGGACAGCGTGTCAAACGAGAACCCCTTAAACGGGATTGCAGACGACAGCAAGCTCATTTCTGCCCAATCAGCAGTGCTTTTGGGGGTGAATTTAACAAAAGACTGACACGAACACTGACTGTGACAGTTTCTTGCCGCCAAAAAATATCCTGAAAAACGGAAATCATAAATTTCGTGAAAAACCAGGGGCCATGTAAAGCCTGCGTGATTTTAAAAAAATTATTGCTACTGATAACAAAATAGTCGCATATTTGTAACCATTTATGGTGACGCTGGAGAAATTCTGAGAGCTGAAATTCACGCCAATGTCAAAATGGAGCGTCAACATTGTACCAGATAAAATATGATCACTTTAACAAATCAAAAGACTTGGAAATGAAAATTGCATGGATGTTTATCAAAACGTAAAACGAGTTTTTTGAATATTTTGATAAGGCATCATTTCCTTTCAATGAATCTAATTATCTATTCTGGTTGGGAAAGTTTTTGTGGAATTTCAGTTGTTCATTATGGAAACATAAATATAATCTCCGCGATGGGCCCCCAAGATAAACATTTATACTTATGTGTGTCAAGTAGAATATTTTTTACTTCTAACGCTTGTTGCAATAAATCCGACTTGAGAACGGTAAAAAGGTAATTTGAGAAAATGCTTAAGTACACTTCTGAGGTCACGATGAAAGTATAAATGACCTTTTACATGCTGCACACAGGTGGTGATAACTTTTTTCATTAATACATGAACCCAAAGATCATATTTCGAGTTGTATTTGTTGGTAGTGATTTAATAGGTTGCTAAGCAACCAACTAAAGATGTATTCAAACAAGCTTTGGATTCCAGAAGGAAAGGAGGTTCTATTTGGTCGCGAAAATCAACTTTTGCCGTATTTTGCTCCTCCATTTTAAATCGGGCAATCATGACACATTTTCGCATTGCGAACAGCCACAAACCTGGACTTTTGCATAGAAAAGCGGAAGTAATTTTGTCTTTTTTTTTCACACAAAACGAAATCAACACTGAGAAAATTCGTGCTAGAGTAGTTAAGATTTTGTTAATTAACTGACGTGCACATCAGTAAACATAGCTGTCTTTTTGACATTTGTTTTACTAGATCCTCAGAGGATTCCTATTGGTTGTCTCGAAAATAGGTGGTGGTGTGCACAGATGTACTGAGTACGACTTGAAGACCTTGACCTCATGCAAATGCGTGGTCATCGACA